GGGGGGGGGGGGGGGGGGGGGGGTTATCAGGGGGTTAGAGGGGGTAGGAATCATCAATTTTATGAACGGAGCCTTGTAGGGGGGCAGTGGCTTTCGTGGCCACTGGGGAACCAGGCTCTTAGGGTATAATATCAGATACATAATTTTTGGGGTATACATAGCTAAATTCATAAAAATAAGTGGAGTATGTTAATTGTGATGGATGTGGTGTAATACATGGGGAGAGTGAAGGTAGTAATGGTATTTTAAATATTAAACAAAGCAATGAGTATCTTTTTGGTTAAAAAGAGATTCGGAAAGAACTTTTCACAAAGCAAAATAAATAGTTGTTTAATTTTGTGATCTCAGAGTCTAGTTATAAGAATAATTTGTAATCAAAGTGTTACATAAATTTACCAAACAAATCTAACTATGATAATCTTTTTGAGACGAAGGGACTATATACATTTAAAATTTAATACTCCATCCGTTTGGGAAAACCCTTCTCACTTTGAAAATAAGGCAGGAGTGGTATTTTGGGCTTTGACCTTGCCATTATACCCTCAATCAATGATTCCTGGTATTTTGGGCTTTTGGGAGGAAGCTACCATGCGAATGATTTTATTAATGCCAATAGTACTCAATCAATGATTACAAATAGTGTTTTCTTTCCACTTTTCACTCACCACACGTTATGTCCACAAAAACTAGAGAGAAATTGCAAAAAAAATTTAGTTTGGGAAAATTTTAAATTTCCCTCCACACAATTTCATGTACACCTCAAACTTCTTCAATAAATACACAATGAAAGTCTAACATTAAATACACTTCATCCACCCCAAATTCTCCTGCACTTAATGTAGTCAATCTTTAACTTTTTCTTCCTTTCCATTAATGGCAGCTGAGTTCTCCCCGACACATGATGTTGATTCCGCTTCCGATGTCGATTCCTCCGCTGTCCCCTTGCCGCCGGTTGGAGATGTTCTTTTTGCTTTCAGCACCCCTGAAACAGTTCATTCAAACCGTATATGCGGTATACAAACAAAAGATGAAAGAAGGAAAAAGATTGTTGATGGAATTCTACAAAAGTTTAACAACGGCAAACTTCAGAAAGGCTTAATTAAGGCAGTGGCTGCTCAGTTTAACATGTCACGGCGCTGGGTTGGAGAGCTATGGAGAATTGCTAAAGGTCAATTGGTGAGGGGCCAAGCTATAAATGTTCAATGCAGGTGGCAGGGTAATGCAGGAAAGAAGCCTAAGGTTGTGGACTTCTCAAAGTTGAGTGAAATTCTATTTCACCAACGAAAGACTTTACGTGCTATAAGCCATTACATGAATGTCTCGACCAGTACAGCACACAATTGGCTCAAGTAAAAGAAAATAAGAAGACATTTAAATTCCATTAAACCCCTTCTGTGTGAAAAGGGTAGGCTAAAGCGACTCAGGTATTGTTTGTCTCTTATTTCTCCTACATCACTGCCAAACAACCCCACATTCCATGACTGCTATAACTACATACATATAGATGAAAAGTGGTTCTACTTTAGCAATGAAACAACAATGTTTTACAAACTGCCTGTGAGGAAGAACCATACAGAGCCACGCAGTCCAAAACACACATTCCCAAGATAATGTTTTTGGCAGCTGTAGGTCGTCCCAGATTTGGGGATGATGGTGAAGTATTATGGGATGGAAAAATAGGCATATTTCCTTTCACATATGAGGAAGCAGCCCAAAGGAGTAGCAAAAAATAGGCCAGCTTGTACAATGGAAACCAAGCCAGTACCAAAGATTACAAGAGATGTGATGAGAAACATGATGGTACAGAAGCTACTACCAGCAATAAGGGAAAAATGGCTAGGCACAACCAAACATGTACTCATACAACAGGACAATGCAAAACCACATGTTGATATCAATGACCCAGAATTTGTGAGTGCTGCCAAGGAAGGTGATTGGGATATTCAATTACAGTATCAACTCCCAAACAGTCTAGATTTGAATGTGCTTGACCTGGGGTTCTTTAGGGCTATTGATGCAATTCAGGACAAAACTGCACCAAAGACACTGGGTGATTTGATTGTTAATGTTCAAACAGCTTTTGACCAGCTCACCCCACAAAAACTAAACCATGTCTTCTTAACTTATTAGCTGGTCATGGGTGAGGTCTTGAAGCATAAAGGGGGAAATGACTTCAAAATACCTCATATTGGGAAAGAAAGATTAGCCAGACAAGGATTGCTACCAAAGAATATAGGTGTGAGTAATGCAGTGTATGAAGCTGCTGTGGAACTCTCAGAAGTCAATAACTAAGGGACAAAAAAGTCATTAAGTTTAGGCAGTGTATTTTGAATGTACATATAGTGTACAATTGCACACTTTTTATTTTTTGGTGCAAATGTAATCCAGATGTTCATTTCTGCCAATGGTGTAATGCAACTTTTGGAATGATGTATTCCTTGTGTGTGTGTGTGTGTGTATCCAGTATAAAAACTGGTTTTTTTGGAAGTTCAATGGCTCATAACATGCATACACATTAGGCAGTGAAGAAGTTTGTTCTTAATGGCCTCAAATAACATAACCGAATCAGACTTTGGTTCCATCACAGGCACATAAAAGAAGGAGAGTCTGAGTGGCTCAGAAAACATAGGAGCATAAGATTAAATTTCCATCATAGCCACAGAATTAGGGACTTGCCCAGATCAGGGACTTGCCTCAGAGAACCTAGGAGAATAATCATTTGGTTCCATTACATGCATATTTATAGGGCCTAACAGGATCAGAACATTCATGTTTCTTAAAGCCTTAGAGAACCTAGGAGAATAATCATTTGGTTCCATCACAAGCATATGTTTAGGGCCTCACTGGATCAAAACATTCATGTTCCATCATGCCTCAGATAACCTAGGAGAATAATCATTTGGTTCCATCACAGGCATGTGTTTAGGGACTCACTGAAATTAGACACTGAAGGAGAGTCTAAATGGCTAAGAAAACATAGGATCAGAACATTCATGTTCCATCATGCCTCAGACAAGCTAAGATAATCATTATTTGGTTCCATCACAGGCACATACACTTAGGGACTTTCATACATTACACAATGGAGTTCCATCTTAAACTCTACAAGCCTGACCAAACACATCACCTTAATTGACCATGTAAGTCTCCATACCAAATGGGGTGACATTACATTATAGCAATTCTCCTATATTTTGGAAATTAATAGGTTTTCATCATTAGTTTGCCAACAAAATCAAGAACAAAGACAACATGCAAGGACATTTACAGAATATATTGAGGACTGAAGATTAAAAGACATTACTCTGGCAAAATTGCTGGAGTTTGGAGGGACTGTCTACCGGTTCAGCAAAGAAGATCTCTGTATCAGAGGTCATTCCTCTAATCTCTTCAGTGGTATTTGATTCATCATCAGATTCACCTTCTTCGCGTTCTAGATCTGAGTTCCACTCAACTCCATCCGGTAGATGGTCACCTCATAGGTATTTTTTCCGGTAGTTCCAAGATGGATCGGTGTCAGATGAGTCCGATGGAAGGACATCGTCATCACCATTAAACGGTGGAAGGACATCCTTATCAAGGATGAAGGAACCACCGGAAATCTTTCTCTTGGGGCGACAACCTTCCTCATCGCTATCAGTTACCAAGCGAAACGAGGGCATGAAAAGATCTGGAGAAGATGGAACACCGGCCATGGAGAGAATGGGTGGTGATCTGAAGAGATAGGGTAGAGTGGGACAGAGAGACAGGTGTAAGAAACGAGTGAAAGAACCGAGAGGCAATAATTTAGGGCAGGGGGCATTTTAGACATTTTAAATGGAAGAGGAAGTGTTTTATTTGAAGTAAAATTTTGAAAGGGGAAGTGTTTTTAAGAACGGAGGGAGTATATTTTATCCCATGATTGTATTCATTTGGAGATTATATGTTACACCATTTTAAAATATATTTTTTAAAATATGTTTCATACATAATTAGTTATATATCTAAAAAATTATAAAATTTATTAATCTTTTAAAAAAGAAATCCTGATGTTGTTTTTAATAAAATATTCATCATTGTGATATAGATTGCGTTTGAAATGTAGATTGTTTAATTACTTTTTGTTTGATTGTACATGATATGAGATGTTATAATATAAAAATAACATATATTGACTGACCTAGATACCCATTTAAAATTTACTTATTAGGAGTAAATTTTAAAAAGCTCCCAGTTTGGAGCTGTTATTGAAATGCTTTTCTCACTTAGGTAGTGAGTGTATTTCCTTCTCTTTGTTCTGTCATTTTTTTGCAATACGTTTCCTTAATGTGTTCTTCGGGTGCATATGTAATTACGTTACATCGTGCACTTGGAGAACCATTGGGAAATGCTGCCGAAATTTTGATAGGTCAAAGAAAATGAAATACATTTACTAGTGAGGGTGGCATTTCAAGAATACGTTTGTTTGAAAACAAAGTGTATTTCCTAAACTCAATCAAGGCGACTGGAGGGCATAAGAAAATGAAGGTGAAGACTTTCGTCAACGAGTAAGTATTAAGAAATTTATTTCTTATTAATGAAATTTTTTATTTGTTAAGATATTAATTTCTTATTAATTTGTTTTTTACATATATTAAAGGTCTTGACGGTTACTTTTGGAACGACACATGCCTCAGCTTAAGGCTCGACCAGATTGGGTTGATGTTCCCGGAGTACCCCAACAAGAAGGGAACGTTAGGTGTGGTTATTATACCATGCGATTTTGTTGGCTCATCGTCAATATGTGTGCACAATGTTCTGTATCGTTATCCGATGTAAGTTTGTTTTTGTGTTTTTGAAAGTAATGAAGTGTAGGGTAATGATTATTAAACTTTATGTCGTATGTTGTTTTCGTATTATTGCAGGTATTTCAGTCTACTATGCCTTATACTAGAGCCGAGTTAGAGGAGGTTAGAGAGTTTTGGGCGGGGGGTTTTCTCGATGGACTTTTGTAAGTTCCATTTGTGTTGTATTGTATAGTATAATTAAATGTAAGTTAGTAGAGTACAATGCAGTTGTTTGGCTTTTAGTTGTGTTATTAAAACTTAGAAGAGTACGTAGTAGTTTTACTCTTATATTTTTTAACATGTACAAGTGCCGTGGATGTAAATGTTTACTTTTTTGGTTTAATTTGTTTTGTGGCATTTGAGTTTTGTGAATGCATTTGTGTTAGTTACTGTTGTGTTGATGGGTTGAATTCTCTGCAAAGTTGAAATGGAGTGGATCGGGAACAAACAAAATAGGCCTTTTGAAAATTTTATATATTTGAATCGGTTATTACCAAATAACCGAATCAAATGTTCTACCCAAAAATGGCGCCATTTCTTGGAAGGATCTTTTGCATCGGTTTTTTGGTAATAACCGATTCAAAAAGCCTCTTCTCAGAATTGGCACCATTTCTCGGAAGGGCTTTTGCATCAGTTTTAACAACCGATGCAAAAAGTAACCTAAGTATTTGCATCAGTTCAAAACCGATTTAAAAGAGTCAAAATAACCGATTTAAAATGTCTTTTTTGTAGTAGTGTACTCGGCCCACTTACTGGACTTGATATCCATCAAGTAGAGCGACCGTTTCCAAGAGAAATGTAGATCTATTCAAATTAGTAGAATAAGAATAAGGCTCTTTTCTTCAACTTTGAAAGATAATACTGATAGAATTAGGGATGTGTATGGACAACTCGATTGGGCAATAAGACACTTGGCTGAACCACATTAAAAGATTGAATCCAATCGATTAGTTAGTTTAACTCAAGAGCTTATATACCGGATTATTTTACTCTTGGACTTCCGATGTGGGATGCACTCTAACACTCCCCCTCAAGTGGACAACCGGGCCATTTTGAATCTAACCGGTTGACCACTTGCAAATGAACTCCCATTCCCTTAATTTTTTTTTGAGCGCCAACACCTAAAGGACCACGAGCCGCTGGGTATGGACTTCCAAACGAGCAATCGTGTTAAACGGGCCACAGGCCGTTGGATACATACTCCATACGAACAACTGGGCTAAAGACTAACGGGCCGCTAGGAATGAACGTCTAGACGGACACCTTGACAAACGAGGTGGGCCAAAACCTGCTCCGATACCATGATAGAATTTGGGATGGGTATGGACAACTCGATTGAGCAATAAGACACTTGGCTGAACCACATTAAAAGATTAAATCCAATCGATTAGTTAGTTTAACTCAAGAGCTTATATACCGGATTATTTTACTCTTGGACTTCCGATGTGGGATGCACTCTAACAAATACCTAACCAGGCAATCATTTCCCTTTTTAAAAAGAGTTTGGGAAGGGAAATTGGAAGTTCATTCTACATGCTTATGGCGAGAAATTTGAAGATAGGAATGATGTGAGAAATTATGGGCTTGTTTGGTTGAGTAGTCTTGAAGGGGAATTGAGGGGATGATTGTTTTTTTGGGCTTTACTATGTATGGAGTACTTCCTATTAGTTAGCCTTAGAAAATTAAAATTTTTTAATTTTCACATTTTGCTTGTCTCATAAAATATTTCTATTTGGTTAAATAAACATAATTAAATTTTCTTTTCTTAAGTCTAACCGAACTTATCTCAACTGCATTCTACGCCCTATCAATTTGATGTCATTTCTCGAACCATACTCTTTTTAATTAATTGTCGTCGTTTTATCGTGGTCCAATTTCTACAATTTCTCATTCCAAAAGTCATTATATGAAAAATTTTACGGGACGAAGGTAGTATATTTTATAGATCATATCTTCATTTTTCGGATAATTCAGTTTTACTTTCAGATGATTTGGTTTGGGAAATCTATTTCAGCTCTGTTTTGACAAGTCTAGCGATAACGAGTATTTTATGATTCACATAACAACTAAGGGGCTGTTTGGCAACTTCTGAATAGGTAAGTGCTGAACCAGTAAGAGGTCTGAACCATTAAGTGGTGAACCAGTAAAAGGTCTGAACCATTAAGAGCTAGTATATTGCTTAACTATTCAGAGGCAAATGTCTCATCAATTCAGATAAGAGCTCTTAACCATTCAGACTCTGTATAATACTTAACCATTCAGAGGCAAATCTCTTAACCATTTAGACATCTGAACCATTAAGAGGCTGAAACAAACAATCTGAACCATTAAGTGCTGAACCATTCAGACATCTGGACCATTAAGAGGCTGAAACAAACAGCACCTAAGTTAATATCAATATATTGAGACACATGGCTATTGGTTGGAGTAGCATCCATGTTCATACATTTACAATTACACCCATAGAAAAGCCCTAATAATATAATTGACATGTAATTTTTCTTAAAAAAATTTGACACAAAGGTGTTTATAAAAAAATGTAAGAGGGTACATTTGGATTTAGGACTACATGTAATAGTAACTCCACTAGTGAGGTTTTGAGTAAGGTGTCAGTATTGTATTCCCTCTGTTTCACAAAATACTTCCGCTCTAATCTTTTACAAATTCTAAAAAACACTTTTAGTCCATCTAAAATATCTAAAAACAACTTATTATAACTGTAACAAACTATAAAATTGGAGTATATTTTAGACATTCTAAGTGGACAAAAGTGTTTTGAAGGATGCGCAAAAAATTTGAGGGGAAGTATTTTGTGAAGCAGAGGAGTAGTATTCATCATCACATCGAACTTGAATCTTACCTCCTTAACACTCCTTGCCTTAGTCAATTGTGTAATGCCCACCTGCTGATTATGCTAAATATAGGCATGAGACTACACGTGAGAAGGCGGACGGACTAAGATTAAACTGTGATTCACCGATCTAAGGTCTGGAATCTATCTGGACCGGACATGCATTTATATACTATAACCATCATCATCTTCCTCGCCGTCGCCGTCGCTGTGCTTTTCCCGGCGGACGAGCATAGATATGCAGCGCCTCACTATGTAAAGCTTCGCCTTCTGCTCCTTGGCCATGCTCTTGCACTTGCGGACGAAATTCTTTCCGCCGGAGGACTTGGACGCCGCCGCCGGGTTCTTGAGGGAATAGCTCCTAAGCAGAGTGGACGCCGGCGGAGGAGGAGGAGGAAGAGAAGGATCGTCCACTGACGCGCCGCCGCAACCGGCGACGACCCTTTGGGAAAGGGAAGCGCTCCTCATCATCATCCTCAGTTTCGACGACGGCGGCGGGTTTGAAGAAGATGAAATGGAAACTCCGTTTGGGTTACCGCCGTCGCCGTCGCCGTTGTTGCAGCGGTAGTAGTAGTAGTCCATTTTCTTGTTTTGATTCTATTGAATTTTCCGGTGGCCGGTGGGTATGATGTGAGTTGGGGGAGGAGAGGATATATTATTCGTGGGATGGGATCGGAGTTAAATTGGACGATGGACTTTTTATGGGTACGTGGGAGACAATTGTAATTTCACACAGTGAATGAGTGAGTTGTTTGGCATTTTGTAAATGGATGATGAAATTTCCATCTTTGGGGTCCTCCAAAATAGTCCTAACTGACATATCATAAATTGGAGCACTTTTAACTTTTTTGCAAGACAAATAAATATTCAAGGATTTTCAAAAAATATTTAAAAAGTGTTATTAGAATTAGTTTAAAAAAACGATAAAAGTTGTTAATTAGCCACTAATTTGTTTTCTTTAAGAGAAAAGTAAAGTTTGTTCTCTGATTAATGAAAGAAAGTAAAGAAAGTAAATAAAGAAAATTTTATGGGACATGGGGATAAGTAGTATTCGAATACGGACAATGATTTCATATTATTGAAATGTTTCTAGATGAGAGTAAATGCGACCAAAATAACAAAAAAGGCGTGCCATTTTTGTGTTTCTCCTAAATAGAAGTTTGAGAGCATAAATAATAAAAATGGCAACAACGTGAATGGTGACAATCTGATAGTGGAGTGTGGTGGTGGATCGCCGTTCCAAGCCTGCAACTGGCGGCGGAGCACCGGTGGCAATATAACGTGGCAGTGTGGGTATGGCAATGATGATAACTTGGTTACAAAAAAGTGTTACTCTTAGGGGCTGTTTGGCAACTTCTGAATGGGTAAGTGCTGAACCAGTAAGAGGTTTGAATCATTAAGTGCTGAACCAGTAAGAGGTCTGAACCATTAAGAGCTAGTATATTGCTTAACTATTCAGAGGCAAATGTCTGATCAATTCAGATAACAGCTCTTAACCATTCAGACTCTGTATAATACTTAACCATTCAGAGGCAAATCTCTTAACCATTCAGACATCTGAACCATTAAGAGACTGAAACAAACAGTCTGAATCATTAAGTGCTGAATCATTCAGACATCTGAACCATTAAGAGGCTGAAACAAACAGCCCCTTATTTAGTATTTTTATTGTCTTGTGTTCTTATTTAATTAGAGAGTTCTCAATTGACATGTTGTATACATGTCATGTATGGTCGTGGTGGAAGTTGATCTGGAAATATTATCACAATAAAATAAAGGACCATGCTACATTTACACCAAAAAGTGTACCCCATTTGTACACCGCAATTATACACAAACATTTTGATAGTTTACACCGACACAAATGTTGGTGCGTTAACAAAAATTTACACAAATACAAAGTATTGATGCGTTAACAAAAATTAGTTTTACACCAACATAAAATATCGGTGGAAACCTACGAGGTATAAAGTGGGGTACAAAAGGGCGGGTACAAATAGCTTTGTCCTAAAATAAAAAAGGATTATGCTACACTTACACCACAAATTGTACCTCATTTGTACACCACGGTTATACACAAACATTTTGATGGTTTACACCGACACAAGTGTTGGTGCGTTAACGAAAATTTACACGGACACAAAGTGTTAATGCATTAACAAAAATTAGTTTTACACTAAGGGGCTGTTTGGAAACTTCTGAATAGGTAAGTGCTGAACCAGTAAGAGGTCTGAACCATTAAGTGCTGAACCAGTAAGAGGTCTGAACCATTAAGAGCTAGTATATTGCTTAACTATTCAGAGGCAAATGTTTGATCAATTGAGATAAGAGGTCTTAACCATTCAGATTCTATATAATACTTAACCATTTAGAGACAAATCTCTTAACCATTCAGACATCTGAACCATTAAGAGGCTGAAACAAACAGTCTGAACCATTAAGTGCTGAACCATTCAGACATCTGAACCATTAAGAGGCTGAAACAAACAGCCCCTAACACACAGTGTTGGTGCAAAGCTACGGAGTATAAAATGGGGTACAAAACATGGGGTACAAATAGCTTTATCCAATAAAAACTTTTGAAGTGAAGGCCGGGACGAAAAGTAAATCTTTTCGAAGTGAAGGGAGTGAATTATGGGGCATTTCCCAATCAGTGCATAATTTCACATTTCATTCACAATTGATGAAACTCTCTATGACATAAAGAGAGTGTGGGACCTTATTTGATAAAGTGGAACTCCACCAATAATTTCACTTTTTAATTAACAAAAATTTACCATTTTCTTTATATTTTAGTTAAATAACATTATTAATTTTTTATATTATTTATTTTTTAATTAGTGTAGATTAAATTATGTTTTTCATTTGATTTATTATTTTTATAATAATAGATACTACCTTCATCTCAGAGTATTTGTCTATTTTTTCAATTTTACACACCATCCAATACACTTCTTTAATCCATTTTATCCTGTAATTTGTATATTAAAAATTTATAGAAATTATATATTAATAATCTATATGTTAAGACAAATCAAAGTGTTGGTACATTAACAAAAAATAGTATTATACCAATACACAATGTTGGTGCATATCTGGGATGTACAAAAGGGATACAAATAATTTTATCCTTAAAATTTTAAACAAATTGAACATAATAAAATAGATGGATATACATTTTTGTTAATTTTTGTTAACGCGATAACATTTTATGTTAGTGTAAACTTTTATTAACGTGATAACATTTTGTGTTAGTGTAAATTTTTTCTAACACGCCAACACTTTGTATCGATGTGAAACATCAAAATGTTAATGGATACATTTAGTGTAAAATTGGGTTATTAGGGTACAATTTTTGGAATAAATGCAGCATATTCCATATTTTCAATGGGGCATCCGCAGGTACAACTGTAAAAGGAGTACTTTTACATTTTAAAGGTAAATGAGTACTGTTGATCATCAAAAAATTTTTAGATGCACTGACAGGGAACTCTTTTTTAAAACCTTCACCTGCAGGGAAATAATTCGTGAATTATGGGCCGACATTTTGTATTCATAGGAAACCAGTCTTTCTCTCTCCCTTTTTACTCACTCAATTCAACCTCCCTTTTATCTTTTCCTTTCTTTTTGCTCAAACCTCCTCACTACCTAATGTTTTTTTACGAAAAATGCTAGGAGTACACTAAATGTATACCTTATTTGTCCCCCACACCTTCCTTGTCCACAAAAAAAGGCAAAAAATTCAAAAAAATGAATAAATAAAAATAAAATAAAAATGTGTGGTGATCTCTTTTTTTTCTTTTTTTTCCTCGACGCCCACAACCTTAGGGCGTATACAATGGAGAGGGGAAACAGCCGCCACGCAAAATGTTAGTCTGATCGTAAAGATTTGCACTAGCATTTTGTGTTAGAATTTTATATGAAGGAAGATGAATGCCACGAAGCAGTGTTGAAGAAATGTGAACAAACATCAAGAATTACGACTTGAAAGTTAAACGAATTGCGAAAACGCTTTCTAATCAAAATTTTCGGGCATACCAAAATGATTTAATCGGATAAGACGTTAATCAAGAATAATACTTCGAATAGCTTCCTCAACCATACCAGCGAGACTCCTATATATAGTCGAAAATTTGGAGACCAGACATGAACGTTTCACACGTAGAGATAGAAATGTAAATCCTACGAACAATAACGCGAAGAGTCTTCTACGGTTTTAAGCCAGTATGACATTTTATCCACACGTCCAAACTTTTAAGGTTTCAGACACCGCTCATGAAAATCTAAAGGATTTTCATAAAGTAATAACGTCCGAAATTAGAAAATTTCAAGCTGCCTCGACCCCAGCCAGGGGTTTGCCCCTTGGACCCCACTACCCAGGGGCTACCGCCCCTTGGACCGCGCTACCGGGGGCTACCCCCCAGGACCACGTTATGAATTTGTAATATCATAAAACAAATGCACACTCCGCACCTCCTAACTCATTTGACAATGTCTATTCAAACTCTTGATGATACAAGTAAACTCACTCACATAAAATAGCTGATGACACTAAAATTACCAACATTTTGTATCAATGTAAGACATGAATCTTGCACCCACATTATCATGAACTTCCTAGATAGGGCCATAAAACTACTCCTCCTGTCCCACAAAACATTATTCATTTTGAATAGTATTTGGTCAAATAGTTACACGCTTCGACTACAAATTGTGAAAAAGTACATTGAATTATAATATAAATTTAATATAATTGAATTAATCTTATGATCTAGTTTTGGTACATCAAATTTTTATAACATTTCTTTATTTGGATTATATTTAATTTATGGTCAAAACGTGTAATTGTTTGACCAAAAATACATCAAAATGGGTAATGTTTTGTGGGACGGAGATAGTATGAAAATACCAAAATAGGAAACATATGTCTTTTAAGATCAAAATAGGAGTTCACAATGTCATTGTTACATATATTGTCACATCATGACTGCCACAATATCAACGCTACATTGTCATTCTTCGCTGCCAGTCACTAGAGCACCGTTGCAGATCGATCGCCGACGGTTGACCGATCACATTGACTTGCTACACTGTAATCACTTTTTCATCATACTGTCAAGTGGCAACGCGTACTCTTGCACCACTGACACGTGATTCACATTTTCAAACTTTTTTACGGAGAGATTTTTTTTAAAACACGAAATATAAAATGAGCAATGCTAGGAGTAAACTAAAAGTGTACCCCATTTGTACACCACCCCATTCTCCACCACTTATTTTTAATTAATTTTTACTTATGTATTTTTTTGATTTTTTTGCCCAATTATGTGGACAAGGAGGGGGTGAGGGACAAATGGGGTACACCATTTGGTGTACCCCTAGCATTTTTCATATAAAATAGGTATTGACTAGCGCGTAGATTTCTTCATACTAAATATTTGTCACACTTGTATTCCCGATGCAAAATATCAAGTTTTTTTAATTCATTTTATTTACAAATTGGTATAAAAATAAAAAATAAAATTTACATATCAAAAAACTACATGAAAAGTTCTTCAAAACAAGAGGTGTCAAAAATATTTTATTTTATCAAATAACCAATGAAAATGTAGAAATAAACAAAAATTCCCGCGATGCTGAAAATTGAAACGTTGGAAATATTTAGGGACGGAAGGAGTAAATGAATAGAACATGCGACGGATATGGAGGAAGCAGCGAATCATGGAATGTGTGTTAGGAATTCATACACGGAGTATATGTATGTATGTATGTATAAAATTGAAGTAATTAACCTTCTCACTGTTAATGTACGGTATTTTATTTTATTTTATTACATCATCATCATCATCATCATCGATCATGTGCCTGCCGATGATGTGAATTGCGTCGGTTAAATGTACTGACAATATGTGTGTGTGTATATATATATATATATATATATATATATATATATATATATATATATATATATATATATATATATATATATATATATATATATATATGATGGTATAAATTCCACCGGGTATGAAAAGTAGGTAATTGGGTCGGGTTAGGGAAACCTAACCGGGTAAATAAAGATAAACTTAATAGTAAGGAACACAACAAAGAATCACTTAGACCGAGGTAATCTCCCGAGTCTGAATATATTTTTTACTCTTTTCTAGAGTGTACATGTTTTTATGGAAATAGTAGTGAATGCCTTCTTCTCTCTCTCTATCACAGATTATTTATAGAGTAGAGGAGGCTCAGTAGGTGCATGGAAGCTGCCCACTTAAGGACAAATAACCAGACAGCATCTATCACTGTGCAATGAGAATATGTTGATTGAATACAAATCTAGGATGTTGCCAAAGGACTTTTCCACACTGATCTCTTGAGTGACGGGCGTGGGTCCTTCCATTGATCTCCTAGATACTAGGGTTTGGGGGAGGCGGATTCGTCCGACCGTGATCCATAGATCAAAACTCAAAAGTGAGACCGGTCAAATTGTACGGAGCCCGATACTTTATTCCTCAAGAGTCAAGATAGTGACCGGTCTCCCAACCCAGGGGGTGACCGGTCATCCACGACTCTTCTAAAATAGCTTCCAAGGTTCGTCTTCGAAAACCGAAAGTGTGACTGGTCACCTATCTTCCGGGGGTGACCGGTCACCAAATGTCGCGCCCAAAAGTGTCTCTAACGACCATTTTTGAAGACCAAAGTCGTGATCGGTCACCTTTTTCCGGAGGTGACCGGTCACCTAACGTCGTGTCCCCAATATTCGATTTGCCAAGTCCAGAAAAGTATATTGTGACCGGTCACCTAATTTCCAGGGTGACCGATCATCTATCGTCATGCCCCAACGAGTCACCTAGCTGAATCTGTAAGACATGACACGTCACTGGTCACCCGACCTCACGGTTGACATGTCACCTCGGTATCGACGAGTATACCTGGGTATGTAATATACCCATCAATATATACTCCCTCCGTCCCGAAATAGTTTACAATATTCCCTCACATTTTTGTCCCAAAAAAGATTACAAAGTCAATAACTTTATAGTGATTTGACTCTTTTACCATCCCTTTTCTTTTCTGCCAGCCACTATTCACACTTTTTGGGGGGATTTAGGGGTAATTTGGGAGAAAAAAATTTGATTTGACTCTTTCTTACTTTCACCTAAAAGGGAATATTATAATCTAAAGTGGGATTATCGGAGTCTTTCTTTTGATTTCCTCTTTGTTGACTAAGTCGCATTATCTTGTAGTCTTGTACCAACTGCCTCTAGCTAGATAAAGACGAATTCAATACAACAACTTTTGTTCCCCCAAGTTATCGTCCATCCCCTTTCTTTACTTGACTTTTCAATGGATCGGGTTTGAGTCGGCCGATTGTGTCTTATGTCTGTATCATTTTAAAAAAAAATGAACTTGACACGTATCGTTTAACCGATTTGTCTTGAAGTTTAATTTTAGATTTAGACTCATTTAGTCTCGGTATCGAGTCGGGTGTGTACCCGCGATAAAAATTGATGTCTTTTATTTTTTTATAATTGAAAAACATCTTAATTGAATACTAATACGCTGCTGTGTTAGAATATAAATAACTCATCTTGGGCCACAACCATAAGCTTGAGCTTTTGGTTGAATTGGTTCTTTGACATGATATCGGAACCTTGTTGACTAAGAGGTCACGGGTTCGAAACTCAGCGCCACCCATTTAAAAAAAATTAAAGTTTCACGTGCAAGGCTCGAAAAAATTAAAGTTTCACGTGATGGAGCGCGTTAGAATATAAATAATTCATCCTGGGCCATGATGGGTGTATTCCACCCGCGACCGGTCAAAGGAGAAGACCAATTAGTTGACCGGTCAATCTCGAAAGTTTTGGAAGAGAAACTTAAATCGTCACCAAATCGATATGTAATCGGCCCGAAGATGACCGATATACTTCACGAAAAAGTATACCGGTCAAACTATGTAGTCACCCTATTTATTCCCAGACTTCGATGAATTTATCCCTCGGAGATTACCCGGTGTAGTTTCTAGGGTTGGAAAGTGTCGGCAGAAGAGAATCTAAGAGGGCTTGGCGTGTAGCGACCCATGTCAGTAGAGGACAACTGGAGATGCTGAAGAATCCATCTAAGGCACTACTCGACAAAGGGAATAATCCCCCTCACAAGGCGACAAGGCAGCTCGAGGACGAAACCAGTCACCTCGCACCACATCAGCAGCATGCCCCCACGTGGGCGCACGTGGTCTTGTCCCCCATAGCCTAGTATAAATACTCATGTAAACCTCAGAAAGAGGGATCCGAATTCATTCTCTCTAAAATCCCTTGTAGAAGCACCCGTGCATTCTCCGTTATAATATAAATTGGGCTACAGGTGTTCCACCTAAAGTCCTACCGGTCAATCTGCGTGTTTTTACCTTTCTTACTTTACCAAATCAATCAAACTATTCTAGACCTGGTCTTCAAGCCAACAAATCAACGCTACTTCCATTCAGGTGCAAGCCACCAATGAGGGTACCAGCATCCCTGTGGCTGCTACCATACCGGTCATTTTGGCCCCAGTGTTGCCTTTGGGTCTGAGCTCCGTCCTAACGCCTAGCGTGATCAGCCCATTCACGACCCCCGTCCCTTCTGCTGGACCGAGGGTCACGTTCCCACCAAGTATGACTCAGTTCATGAATGACCCGGCCAACCTACAAGTCATCCAAGGCTTTGGCCAGGTCATGGCCATGTGCCAACAGAATGGGGGGATGCCTTTTCTCCCTGGTATGTTCCCGTTTGCTCTTCCAGGCGCGGGAACCGTGCCCCTACAAGCTCCAATGGCAGTGACGCCATTTCAGACACCGATGCCGCAGCCATCACCTTTCCAGCCGGAGCTGGTCAGCACCATGGCCCCTGTCAACTTGACTGGCGCACTTAACGCTGCAGAGCCGTCGCGTCCTCCGCAAGGTACGAATCCGCAGATCACTCCTGATGGTCATTGCGTCTCAATTGAGAGTGATGACGGCGAGTGGGACATTCCAAGGGCCCACAAGAAGAAGAAAGGAAAAAACATCCGGCCAGCGACCTCCCGAAACTCCGCCTTCGAAAGGCTGGGGGATAGGGAGAAAGGCCAGAGGAAGTCAGCCAAACAAAGGCTGGGGCAGAGCGTTGCCCATGTCAGCACGTTCGCCCGGCTAGGCGAGGTGCGGGAGGCCGAGCCTGCCCGCACCCGGCGCTCCCGTGAAAGGTCAAGATCGACGCTCCTAGATTCACCAGAAAGGAAGATCCGGAAATCCATCTGGACTTCTTCAACCAGAGTGCGACCATGAACGGTTGCACCAATGAAGAAAAGTGCCTACTTTTCTTCCAGACCTTGCGGAACCGAGCCACTGAATGGTTCAATAAGCTTCGCCCGAGAAGCATTGATTTGTTTAGTGATTTGGCCTCAAAGTTCAAGGCCAAGTTCCATGAGAATTGTACTAAGAGGAAGAAATTCACCTATCTTAGTACAGCCGAACAGAGGGAGTTCGAGAACCTTACTCAGTTCCTTACCCGGTGGAAGGAAGAGGTAGACAAGGTGGAAGAGATGGATGACAAAACCGTCTTATCCCTCCTCTTGAATGGCTTGCGTGCCGGGGAACTATACAAGGAGTTCTGCCGGAAACCCCCGACCACGTACCAAGAGGCCTACCATACTGCATGGGAGTTTGCTGAGGCCGAAACTCAACTCCGGGCGAAGAAAGAAGCCGAGCATGGTTACAAGCCCAAGCCGGTGCAGGTCAAAAAGGAAGAAGCACCGGGACCTAGCCGGCCAAGGCACCACTATGACCCGGTCGTCCGTATGGTCAATACGGAAGAATGCCAAGAAATCCGGAAAGCACCGGTCATTCCTCAGGAAAACCCTACCGGTCAAATAGAACGGCAGTGGTCGGGCACCTATTGTTCTTACCACAGGTCAGATTCCCATAACACCTCCGAATGCAAAAGTGTTAAGGGGGTCATCCGGCAGATGATAGACAGTGGAGAGCTGGGCAAGGATTACTTGCAGAAAGCCCAGGAGAAGAGTCATTAATGGGTTAGGCCAGCTGCCCCGGGAGATGACCGGGACAACGACCGGCGGAGGAATAGCCGGCCAAGGGAGCGGCAACCTGCTCCCGAAAAAGAGCACATCGGCATGATCTTCGGCGGACCTGAGGGTGGAGATTCAGCCGCGCAACGAAAGAACTGGGTCCGGAGCATTTACGTTGGTGAGGTAAGCGCTGAACCGCCCAGGCGTAAGCATACTAGAAGGGAGCCGATCGTCTTTACTGACCGGGATCTCCCTCCTACCGGTGAAGATCACAATGATCCATTGGTCATCACCATGGACATTAATGGGGTGGATGTCGCCCGGGTACTTGTTGACACCGGTAGCAGTGTCAACATCTTATACTTGGAGACTTTCCAAAAACTCAGGTTGTGTCGGACACAACTTGAACCCCTCAAAACTCCTCTCTCAGGCTTCACGGGGGACACCGTTGAAGCTGAAGGATCCATAGTTCTACCGGTCGAACTAGGATCAGGTGAGAAGACCGTGTGGAAGAAGATGCGGTCCATCGTTGTGGACATTAAATGCGTCCACAACGCGATCCTTGGGAGACCGGGCATCAATAAGGTCAGGGCGGTGATTTCCATGCCTCACCTGTGCATGAAGTTCTACACTCCAGGCGGTGTGGGTGAAATGAAAGGCGACCAGAGGAATGCCCAGGAGTGCTATGCCTGGGCAGTCAAGAAGATGACCAAGGGGGTCAATGTCATCTCCCAAGAAATCACAAAGGGAGAGACCCGGGAGAAACTGGAGCCCGAGGCCGAGACGGTGGAAATCGAACTTCACCCGGGTGATTCGTCAAGGATGGTCAGAATTGGAGCAAATCTCCCCAAGGATTTCAAGGCAGAGATTACACGGGTCCTCCAAGAATACGCAGGCATATTCGCATGGAGCGTGGCGGATATGCCCGGAATAGATCGCTCTGTTATCTGCCACCGGTTGGCCGTGAGGGAAGGAAGTCGACCGGTACGTCAGAAGAAGCGGTACCTGGCCAGTGACCGGCGAGACTTCGTCAAGAAGGAAGTGAAGGACCTCCTCAGTGTTGGTCACATCCGGGAAGTCAAATGCCCGGATTGGTTGGCCAACGTTGTCCTTGCTACCAAGGGAGACACGTGGAGAATGTGTGTGGATTATACGGACTTGAACAAGGCTTGTCCGATGGATTCATACCCCCTCCCCAGTCCAGATCAAATGGTGGACGAAACTGCGGGGTGCGACTCCTAAGTTTCATGGATGCCTTCAAGGGTTACCACCAAATCTACATGGCCAAGGAAAATGAAGAGAAGACGTCATTCCTCACACCTGAAGGAACCTACAGCTACCAGGTAATGGCGTTTGGCTTGAAGAACTCGGGGGCAACCTACCAGCGCATGGTGAACAAACTCTTCAAGCCACTACTGGGAAAGACCATGAAAGCATACGTTAACGACATGCTGATCAAAAGCCAGGTATCTCTCAACCATCCGGCTGATATGCGAGCCACGTTCGATATCATGGCAAAATACAACCTCCGGCCGAATCCTAAGAAATGCGTCTTCGCGGTTCGTACCGGGAAGTTCTTGGGATTCATGGTAACCAAGAGAGGAATAGAGCCCAACCCAGAGAAAATCCGGGCCATCACTGAAATGCAAGCCCCTACCTCCGTTAGGGATGTTCAAAAGTTGACCGGTCGTTTAGCGGCCCTCAGCCGTTTCCTTTCCCGGTCAGCTGAGAGATCCCTGCCCTTCTTCAAAGTTCTGAAGAAGGTCAACACATTTGCATGGGACGAAGAATGCCGGAGGGAATTCGAGGAGCTGAAAGAGTACCTAGCGTCGGATATTGTATTGTCTAAACCCGAACCGGGTGAAACTCTGTATCTGTACCTGGGAATTTCCCCAAATGCTGTAAGCTCCGTTTTAATAAGAGATGATGGGGCGCAAAAGCCCATTTATTATGTGAGCAAAGCACTAAACGGGGCTGAGAGTAGATATACGGCGATGGAAAAGACACCCTATGCGCTTTTCATCTCCACCCGGTAGAAGTCTTGACTGACCAACCGCTGGGTGCAGTGTTGCGAAATTCAACATCCTCCGGGAGGATGGTGAAGTGGGCGATGATGTTAACTCAATTCAACATTGAGTACCGGCCAAGGTCAGCAATCAAGGGACAAGCCCTTGCGGACTTCAATGGTGGGAGATGGCAGTTGATGGGGCATCCGGTCCTAGAGGATACGGGGGTGGTATCGTGTTCACCACCGCAGAAGGGTTCAAGATCTACCATGCAATCGTCTTCAACTTCAAGCTAACGAACAATGAGGCAAAATATGAAGCTCTGGCTGGAGGGCTCGGACTTGCCCAAGCCCTGAAAATCAGCCGGGTCAGTATCAAATCTGACTCTAGCCTGATTGTTGGGCAACTGACCGGTAACATGGAAGCAAGGGAAGGACGCATGGCACAATACAAGGAGCTCGTGCTCGCCCTGTTGAAATGCTTCGAGGAATTCTAGATCGCCCAAATTCCCCGGGCGGAGAACGCGGATGCAGACCTCCTCTCCAAGTTGACGCAGTATGCCCCCGAACATGTTTCAAAACTTGCCCGGGTGGAGATCCTGGATCGAGCTAGCATCGAAAAATTGGAAGTCGCCGCTATAACAGCCGGAAGCCAATTTGACCGGTCAAACCTGGTCGGGGCGGATGACCATTGGATGTATGATCTGATGGAATATTTGATGGATGGGAGCATGCCAGAACAAGATGGCCGGGCAAGAAAAGTGAAGCTCAGGACACCCCGATTCCAGGTTCTTGATGCGCTTTCCCAGCGCATCATCCTATTGGGGTATTACTGGCCAACAATTGTCCAGGATTGTGAAAGGTATGTTCAGAAATGCAGAACATGCCAAGTGTTCTACAAATATCCCGGTAGACCCGCGACCTACTATCACCCCGTATCGAATGTCATCCCATTCACTAGATTCGGGGTTGATATCATTGGAGCATTCCCAGTCGCCCAAGGAGGGAAGAAGTTCGTAATCGTGGCCATCGATTACTTCACCAAATGGATCGAGGCCGAAGCATTGGCCAACATTACCACGCAATAATGTAAGAAATTCATTTGGAAGAACATCATCACAAGGTTTGGAGCTCCCATGAGCCTAATCACCGACAACGGCCCACAATTCCGAAATCCAAGGTTCACCGAATACTTGGAGGGCTTCGGGATCAAGCACAATCGCTCTTCGGTGGCGTATCCCCAAGGAAATGGCCAAGTTGAAAACGCCAACCGAACGATTGTGGATGGTCTAAAGAAACGGCTGGGAGAAGCAGGAAACAAGTGGCTGGAAGAGCTCCCACACATCGTATGGGCATTCCGAGTAACACCCAGGAGGGCTCACGGGGAAGCAAGGCTGCCCATCGAAGCTGAATTGCCAACATTCCGGGAATCAAGTTATCAGGCCCAGCAAAATGAAGAAGACCACTTGGCCGAGCTCAACTTGGTCGAAGAACGAAGAAAGGCCGCGGAGGTGAGAATGAGTACATACCAACAAGTTGTGAAGAAGTACCATGACAACAAGGTTGGGCCGCGGTACTTCCAAGTTGGAGATGAAGTCCTACGAAGAAGAGAAGCAAGTAGACCTGGCGATGGAGGAAAGCTGGCAAAAAACTGGGAAGGCCCATACAGGGTTAGGGCCATCATTCGCCTAGGAACCTACCGGTCAGAAACTTTAGATGGTGTACCGATAGAAAGAACTTGGAATTCTCACCATCTTCCCAAGTTCTACAAATGATTGTAATACTAGGCGATGCCTAACTACATTATCAATCAAAGTGATGTTCAAAACTCTACTTGGTAGCTGCAGAAGTGATAGGTCGAACCTATCCTAGGAGGGCTTCCCGGGTGGATCGGATCCACTCGGATAAGCCAACTGAGACACAGTCCCGGACCTGGCACGCTGGTTACTACACCGGTCTTGCTCAGTATAATAGAAAAAATATTAAAACCCGGAAGAGGGTATGCCTGCAAGAGGGCTAGACCTGGAAGAAGGTTCGAACCGTACTTACACGGGCCCATGAGGTTTGACCGGTATCGGGAAATCAGCCGGTACCGTCAAATTGATTGGGGACTAAAAGATGCCCATTAAAAGAAATAGAAGGGGATCGTCCACCGTGGCGCATCCTGTTTCCCCCTTCTCAGGGAAGACTTGAACGGGGGGGTGAGCTAAGGCCTTCCCGGGATAGTAGAAATCAAAGGGCCATTAAAAGACTTAATCACCCGGAAGAGGGGGCCCTGGAAGAAGGGTGCATTTGAACCTTGGAGAGGGTTCGAAACCATTCGACATGGTTAAATCTCCAGTATTCTTACCGGTTAAGGATACTTCAAGAATTACTAGGTTACAGGTGTTTCCATCTACAACCTACCGGTAAAAAAAAGAATACCCCGGTCGGGTATGGGCACAACAGAACTTCGAAAGCTCCACAAGGCAAGGCAGATGACCGGTCAGACCATGGAGTGGAACCTACCGGTCAAACTGTACTTTATCGAAGAATTTGTGAAGCTATCCAAAAAGCCAAAATGAAGTTCAGCCGGTCCACTCTAGTTCAAAAACAAGTCAAGAGAGCGAAAATTAAAGTTCAACCGGTCAAAGTTACTCGGGCTGATCCTTGAGATGAAGTGATCAGAGAGAACTTTGAAGTTCTACCGGTCGAACGCAATAGTGGTTGATTACTGTACCGGTCGAATATCCTATGATGGCGTTCTAAGAAGCAAGAGCAAAGTATCAATTAACAAGCAAGCAGATATGCAAGATTAACCGGGTAGGAAAACAAACATGGCATTTAAAGCAAGAAATGTCAAATGTTTACAAGTATGCCGGGCATACCCGGGGAAATTTCTGCTCAAAGTTTTACAAAAATAACCGGGCGCAGCCGGGGAGATTAGTCAAGGGGAAGGGGGGAGTTGGCTCTTCTTCCGGGATTGAAGCCAGGCCATAGGATGCAGCGCTGAAGTTCGGATCTCTTCTTAGCAGTACCCGGTGAGAGGCGATCTGGTCCTTCTTTTGACCGCTCTTGAATCCGAAGGATCCAATCGCGGTAATCATATTCCTTCCTTCAGGCTCCCGGTACAGAAGCCTGAAGGACTCCATCGTGGTCTCTGGAGTCGCCGTCATCACCCGGGTAGCTTCAGCTTTATTCTCTTCCACCCAGACAGCTGCGCGCCCGGGGAAGGTTTCTTCCTTCTCCGCCATCTCCCTCTTGGCTTCAAACACCTCGTCCATCAGCCGGCCATTCTCCTCCTTGAGGTGAGAGATCTCCGCCCTCATAGACCCGGTCAGCCCGGGTAGCCTGGTCAGCTCATCAGCTTGGCTCTTCAGGATGAGAGCCATCTCCTCCTTCTTCTTCTTTAGCCGGGCAATCTCCCCCGCCTGCACAAAAGGAAAAATAGCCCGGTAAGATTCTCGACAGAGAAAAAAGAAGATCAAGACCGGGATAGCAGCAGAACTTAACCTCCTTCAGCCTCAGCCCCAGATTGATGAAGGCCTCTTCAATGGTCTGGCCGGCCGGCTCAGGATCCGACCTTGCCCTCTTCTTGGCGTAAGAAGGGTGCGTGGTGGCCACGTTCTTCGTCCGTCGACCGGTCTTTTCCTTTTCCTTCCCCTTAGACCGGTTGTCCTGGGTTCGTCCTCATCCAAAATCTCCACGGTCTCTTGGTGGACCGGGAAGGTTTTGGCAGGGTTGGCTTGGGAGCCCTCATTATCTCCCGCTGGTTTGTCGTCGGGGATGGCGAACTCTTCGAACTCCATATCTGCAAAAGTAGCTAAAACTGTTAAGTACAAGCAATGGTACCGGTCAAAGAGTGAAAAGTACCTGGGTGGTTCTGGCCCTCAGCCTCTGCAGTGTTGCCCGGGGAGGGTACCCCGCGCCCCGCTGCTTCATGGGCCTGGGAGGTACCCTCACCACCCGACTCCACCCTCCAAATCCAGCTGCCATAATGGAAGATCCTCCCGGTGAAAGGATCCCCGCGCATGAGGACCTCAAGATTCGCTTCCAAGTCAGGGGAGGAAGCCGGTGCAGCATACTCTTGGTCGAGGAGATGGTCATTCCATTTCAGACCGGCCAAAGGAGTGACAAAGGGGGGAAACTCGATGAAAACAAATTTTTCCTTCCATCCCCGGTTACTTTGGGGGACTTCGGAAATGAACTTCCTACCGGTACGGGCTTTGAAGAATACAAAACCTTCGCAGCCAGTCCCGCCCGGTAGGACTTCAAAGCAAAAAAGGAAAAGGCGCAAAGTGGGGACGATTTTCAGATGGGTGCAGATATTTACAAAGGAATGAAGATACCGGTGGGCGTTAGGAGTTATTTGGCTGGGCAAAATCCTAAACGCATGGCATACTTCGGTTAGGAGGGGGCGAAGGGGAAAAACGATACCCGCGTCCAGTGATATGGTGTGGAACCCAATCCTATCCTCCCGGTGGGGTTCAACAATGTTGGGCCAGTTAGGTTCATACAAGAGGGTATACCCATCCGGGAGCCTCCTACAAATTTTATTCAAGGCGATTTTGGATACATGGGAAGGGACGTAGAAGGTGGGGAGCGGAAAGTAACCGGCAGCATGAAGCCGCTCCTCCCACGCATCCCGGGTTTCGTTTTCAGGGTCATAGGGACCCGGTTCGTCATCAACCGGGTCATCCCTCCCCATGAAAACTTCACCGGGCATCTAATTAACAGGTGGCGGGTCGGGATTAGAGGAGTTGGGAACCTGACCGGGCGTGGAGTCAAGAGAAGAAGACCCAGTCGAGGAAGATGAGTTGGAGTCCTCAGAGGAGCGGTCCTCTGAGGACGAAATCCTATCGCTAAAAGAAGACATGACCGGGAAAGAAAGTAAAGAAGGAAGGGGAAACTTACTTGACTCGGAGGGCTGGATAGTGAAAGAGAAGGAACTTGACCAGTGAAAGCTCTGAGACTTGATCGTGGAAAGTGAACAAAGAAGAGGGGTGGGGGCCTTTATATAGGAACAGGAGGGGTGGGGGCCTTTATATGCGCGACACATGGCAAAAATCAAAGTTTGAAATTCAAATTTCAAAAATTTTAGGCGGGAAGAGCAAAAATTTCAAAATTGGAGTCCTATTTCAAACTTTTTACTTCCCGCTTATGACAAATTGCATGACCGAGAAGTGGAGGATTGATGGGTGTATTCCACCCGCGACCGGTCAAAGGAGAAGACCAATTAGTTGACCGGTCAATCTCGAAAGTTTTGGAAGGAAAACTTAAATCGTCAGCAAATCGATATGTAATCGGCCCGAAGATGACCGGTATACTTCACGAAAAAGTATACCGGTCAAACTATGTAGTCACCCTATTTATTCCCAGACTTCGATGAATTCATCCCTCGGAGATTACCCGGTGTAGTTTCTAGGGTTGGAAAGTGTCAGCAGAAGAGAATCTAAGAGGGCTTGGCGTGTAGCGACCCATGTCAGTAGAGGACAACTGGAGATGCTGAAGAATCCATCCAAGGCACTACTCGACAAAGGGAATAATCCCCCTCACATGGCGACAAGGCAGCTCGAGGACGAAACCAGTCACCTCGCACCACATCAGCAGCATGCCCCCACGTGGGCACACGTGGTCTTGTCCCCCACAGCCTAGTATAAATACTCATGTAAACCTCAGAAAGAGGGATCCGAATTCATTCTCTCTAAACTCCCTTGTAGAAGCACCCGTGCATTCTCCGTTATAATATAAATTGGGCTATAGGTGTTCCACCTAAAGTCCTACCGGTCAATCTGCGTGTTTTTACCTTTCTTACTTTACCAAATCAAGCAAACTATTCTAGACCCGGTCTAGTATAGTTTGACCGGTCAAGTAATTTACACCATCAGGCCACAACCACAAGCTTGAGCTTTTGGTTGAATTGGTTCCTTGACATGCTGCAATAGAAATCAGCCTTCTTTACCAAAAAAATCTACAACAAAAATCTCTTGTCGCATTCATTCATGTTGCAAGAATGTTCTTTATAACATTAGAGCCAATTTCAAACTATTTAATTCATACTACTACGTAAACCAACGTGTACATGACTCTAATGTGGTGAAATAAATACAAATAGATTTGGAAGCCATACAACTAGAAAAGGAGGAGGGTAGGGTTTTTTAATATTTAATATCATTTATTTATTTAACCGTACGAGTTTTAGGGGTGGGTGCGGTCTATGACGCTCTGTGATACAACCGAATTCTATCACGGACCGCTCTTATTTAAATAGTTTAGTATTGGTGCAGTATGAACCATAAAACCATTCGGCGATCTAGGGAGTGCAGAGAGAGCTGGGGTGGGGCAAGGTGAAATTAAAATTAGGGGGAGTTAGGAGGTAGGAAACATCAATTTTAGGAACGGTAGACCGTAGGTGCCTCAAAACCACTAGTGTCACGATGTTACACAACCTAAAGTGGTGTAACATTACAACTTCTCATTAACTATTCCCTCGTCTTAGTTCCCATTATATTTGGTTCAAGATTTTTTTTTTGAAAAATAAGAAGATAAGTGAAAATAAGGTTCATAAAAATGTTAGATAATACTCCCTCGTTTCAAATAAAATTATCTGTTTATTATTCACATGATCAAACTTTATTCAGTTTCTTTCACCACTAGTCTTGTATATCTTTTGATTTTGTTTTTAAATACGTAATTTTATTTTTTAATTATACACCATTTTCATATAAAATAATTTTAAAATAACTTTAGTCAAACATCATAACCCGAAACAAACGATTTAAATTGGGATGAAGGGAGTACGTAGTAATAGTTATGGTAGTATTAGTTATGATAGACTTTATATTTTAGTCAGCTTTTATTATTGATTCATATTTCTAATTGAAGATAAAATCCCCTACATGTACTCTGTCATGTATTTTATTATTTATTGAATTATATAATTATTCCATTATCAATAAAAAAACAATAACAAAAAATGCCAAAATTGCACAAATGGAAATGTTTTGTCGCCACTCCTTAGATTCCGTAGGTAATATAGTTCGACGACGGAAACAGAGATGGAAAGGTTTCTGTTGCTCTATTTTCGTTGGTATTGATATTGACGATGGATTTTAGTGTCATTCGTGGATCCGTGGCGGAATGGTCAACGGAACACAGCAACGGCTTTTCCGATGGAATATTTTCGTCACTCAGTTTAGTGGCGGTTTAGTAATTTTTGACCACGTGGCGACGGAACTTGAAGCCATCTCCTAATCCGTCTCTAAAGTTGCAGATTACTAACAGGGAAAGCATATTTCTGCCTGTTTCTCTATGAACCAATTCAACCAACAATCAAATACATCAAATAACAACAAATCCAACGCTACAAGCGTATTGTACAAATTTATCATAGTTTCGTTAAGTTAAATTCAAATGTTTTCAATTGAAATAAAACAACACGGTTCTGCAAATCCTGCCCCCCGCCTCCACTACCATCACCATCTCTCGGTGGTAAGACATATCCATATAGTCAAATAATATCTTCTAATCAACTAGAGTTCACGTGCTTGAAGGGCTTTCACTTTTTCTAACCCTTCCCTCAACGTCTAGATCTCATCATATTTCTCGAGGATCCCACATCAAACTTGTGCTAGCACGCCTTGCCCGACTCGCATTCATTTGTGGTATGCTCCGAGCAAGATCTCTGATACCATGAATACAATTGTTGCGAACATGTCCCCCGACCGTAGAGATATAGATCTCGCCCGGTATGACATCTAAGCCTTATTCATAGACACCCACACACCCACACACAGAAACACAAACACACACACACACACACATATTCTGGTGAGAATGCAATCATATAAAAGAAATAAGAATGAATCTGCTGTTTTAGATTGTGAGATCTAAGGGTCAAGATTGCATCAAAATTAGGTGCACCAAAATGGTTTGAAAATGCAACATGTCGAAATGCACCAAAATCTTTTGAAAATGCACTATCTCAAAATCTAAGCGCAGGATGCAATCTGAGCCACATGATGCATCAGATCCAAAGGCTAGATTTTATTCTTATTTCTTTCCCCAAGGTGCATTCTCACGTAAACCAGCCCACATATATAGATATACACACACAGATATTTATATATATATATATATATGGGATTGACTTCAGTGAGATGACACCTTACAGTGAGATGACATGCTTCGGTCAAATGACGCAAAGCTCACCACATTACAAAACTCACCTGGAAATAAAGAAAAGTTCACCACTTTGAACAACAAACAAAACTCACCTTTTTTTAATTTTGAAAATTAAAAAAATAATTAAAAATAAAATAGAAACACCGGTCAACCACCGGTCAGCGGCGGCGGCGCGGCGGAAACCGACGGTGGCGGAGGCGGTGGTTGGCGGCGGCGTATTATTTTTTGACCATGTTGATAATATACAGGAAGAGAGAGATTGGATAGGGGGAGTATTATTTTTGTTGTTCGCATTATTATTATCAGCAAATTCGGAGTACCATGTAAACTTCCTTTTTCCACATTTAATTGACCACTCTCTAGCAAAAAATTATTTTTAAGAAATGAATTTAAAATACTCCCTACGAAATATGAAATAAGTGATTCAAATGAGTTTGTAACTAATTCATATAAAGTGCTCATATAAAATTTTAGACAATTTTCATACCCTAGTACTACTATTTCTTAATTGAATATGATAAGTGAACTAATTTCGAACAAATAAAAACAAGGGAAATTTACCTAAATGATATTAAGGGTCTGTTTGTTTCAGCCTCTTAATGGTTCAGAGAATGATTCAGCACTTAATGGTTCAGACTATTTGTTTCAGCCTCTTAATGCTTCAGATGTCTGAATGGTTAAGAGATTTGCCTCTGAATGGTTAAGTATTATACAGAGTCTGAATGGTTAAGAGCTGTTATCTGAATTGATCAGACATTTGCCTCTGAATAGTTAAGCAATATACTAGCTCTTAATGGTTCAGACCTCTTACTGGTTCAGCACTTAATGATTCAGACCTCTAAATGGTTCAGCACTTACCCATTCAGAAGTTGCCAAACAGCCCCTAAAACATAATGACTTTTCTAATGTAGTACCATATGTTTTTAATTTCTCAATGTAGTACCACTAGTCATTATCCATTGGTCAGTGTTCTAGTAACGCCATTGGATATAATTTCCACCACTAGACATTATTCAAGTACTATTTAGAGAATAAAAAAATTCAAGTATTACATTAGAAAATGACATATGTTTTAGTACTATTTAGTACAAATTTCACTAAAAACAAGAATGCGTCCCCTTCCAAACCGGCCAAAACACACCAAAACACCAGAAACCCAGCTCCCGAACATGGCCTTATAAGCTAGGGATGAAATTTATTCCTATGGTTAACCAAACTTTAGTATATGAAAAAACTACATGAGCAGAAGAAAAACAGTTAGTACATCATTGTCTTTGAGACTGCCTCTCTTTTTTTAAGGTCATGGTCATTAGTGAACTCGATGTTATCTCTAACGTCTTCCTCTCATCGAGTAATCTTTGACGATGGAGGGGGCAAAAGCAAGTCCATCATATCTTTACCAAGAAGACACGGAATGGTTTTCGGTTTAGGAGGAAGAGCCTCGCATGCTTCTTCGTTCCCGGTTAACTGACAATTACAATGTACCTTTTTTATCAGCTTTGCCTTCTTCATTAACTCATTTACGAGGTGTGGGGAGGATTGAGATTTGAAAAAAACGACACACCTACAAATTAAACAGAATATAAATGGAGAACAAAAAACTCACCTCTCTAGCGATGGTCAACAAATCATCAACGGTAAGATCTTCATCTCCATTGGAATACTGCTTTCCAAAACATGGTGGTAAAAACCGTAAAATATCATAGCATCCCTAATTCTAGTATATACGGAGTAAAAACAATTGTATTCTTAACTTCGCCAACAAGGAAAGAGTTAGAGTAAAAAAACATAAGTAAGATTACCTCATCATCTTGTGTTTGTGGCAATCTTTTATTTTTATCAGTGATCTCAATCACAGAGTGCTTTGCTTTTGTTCCGTGTATTCTAACGGGAGGAGGCTCGGATTCATCAATATTTTTTGATGCTCCGAAATGCTTTTTTGTCTCTAAGTAAGCATCGTAATCTTCTAAACTTGTCTTTCTCCAGCTTTTCTGTGTTCCTTCATCTACTTCCTGCTTCAAATCCTTCTCATCATCCCTGCTTTTCTGTGTTCTGAACTTGTCTTTCTCCAGCTTTTCTGTTTTCACATCTTCACTTTTGATTCCCTTCTTTACTGCTTTTCTATCGATATTTTCGCCGTACTTTGCGTATCTAGTTTTGGTTTTCTTCTTCAATCCCTCTGAATTTTCACTGCCATTGGTTGAATCTTTAATTCTTGGTTTCTTCTTCACCCGGCCATCATTTCCGTCTTCCGGTTTGAAATTCTTCTTAACCTCAGCTTCATCTTCTTCTTCACCATTACTGGAATCTCGGGTTCTGGATTTCTTCTTTTCATGATCCGCGGCAGGCATACAATGCATCCATTGTGGCAACCGTCTTTTCACATCCATTTTATACACTCCGTATTATTTCATTTCAATTCTCACATCTTCAATAAGATCAAAAGGAATCCTCCATTGTATAAACCTCAAAATAAAAAAGATACTCCCTACTACACAAATTATAGGAAATCCTTCAACATCAAGCTATTAGGTATGACATTATACGATCACAAAACCCTTCTTATGAAAGTTTTTGGCACACAAAACATTAAAACTAAGGTTTTTGCATGAATTTACAGTTAATTAATCTTAAACTAGTTGGGATTAAGGTGTTGAAGATGTTGAGGATGATTTTGCTTTTTTTTTTTGTCTTCCAAAAATCTTTTTTTTAATTAATCATCTTCAACTACTCAAGATTTCTCCATTACTATGAAAATAACAACACACACGCATAGCCCATTTAAAAATTAAAAAAAAATCAAGATCCAATAAGAACAAATAGTGGAAACCAAAAATTTAGATCAAATAATACAGCCCAGCACAAATGGATTCGTAATTGCAAAAATATATACTATAGACCCAGCAATTCAAAATTAGGGTACCGTCGAATTCAAACGGGAAGGTTGAGAATAATGAAACTGCTTGTTTTTTATGTACCGGGGAAGGGATCGGGCGGCGGACACACCGCGTGGCGGAGGTTGAACCGATTAGAGGTCGGAGACGATGACGGGGACGGCCGGAGTAAGGTCCCTTGATAGTGTTGTCTTTGAAAACCACATTTTACTTCTCTCTCCTCCCCTATATTTATCCTTTGGCTTTTTCTTTTTAAACTTCTCTTTTCCTAATGTAAATAAAACTTAATTATGTTTAGTGTGAGGAATAATGTCCTAGAAATTTACTTAATAATAACTAGTGGATAATGACCAATGGTCCTACATTAAAAAATAAAAATATATGGTTTTATATGGTATAAGTCATTACGTTTTAATCTTATTTAGGTAAATTTTCCATAAATAAATACTTCCCTCGTCCTAAAATATTTGTCACACTTGCTTTTTCAGCACTAGCAGAAATTTTTATTTATTTCTACGTTTTCATTAGTTATTTTATAAAATAAAATATTCTTGACACATTTTATTTTGAAGAACTTTTCATGTAGTTTTTTTGATATGTAAATTTTATTTTTTATTTCTTTTTCAATATGTAAATAAAATAAATTGAAAAAACTTGATATTTTATCTCGATAATAGAAGTGTGACAAATATTTAGGGACAGAGGGAGTACTACATTATGATAGAGTTGTTAGTATTCAAAAATAAAATAAATAAATACTCCCTCCATTCCATATTAACAGTCCATTTTGACTTTCTTGGTATATTAAGAAATGAATGAATGTAGACATAGTGTATGTCTACATTCATAAATTTTTTAATGTAATAAGAAAGTCATAATGAACAGTTAATATGGAATGGAGGGAGTACAACATGGCAAATTATACCGTATATCCGGCTATACGGGAAGAACCGTACAGCCGGCAATTAATTAGGGCGAACGGGGGACCTGCGCAAGAACGACCGAATGGATCGGCCACGAAGGAGGCTGCGTGATGGATTCCCGATCGGCGATTCCCGATGAAGGAGGCTGCGCGGCGATGAAGATGGAGGTTGTTGATGAAGGTCTTCCGCGGAGGTTGTTGATGAAGATGGAGGTAGTTGGATCCCTATCAATTCTGCTTCCGTTTGTGATGGTCTTCCGCCGCAAGATATTTTCTTCCGATGGGAATGAGTTTATGAAGGTAGGTTGTTTAAGATTATATGAATGGTAGGTTGTTTAAGATTGAGTACTAAGTTATATAGGAATGAGTACTACTGTGTGTTTTAGAATGAATATTATGTTATTCGTAAATGAATATTGAACAAATTTGTGAAAGTGAGTACGACGTTATTTCTGAATGAGTACTGCGTTATTTCAGAATGAATACTACGTTTTTCAAATGAACTCTTATGTTTGTGCGAGAATGAGTACTACTTTACTTCGGAATGAGTACTACATGGATGTACCTATCTCTAGGTACATTCAGATGTACCATATACCAACTCAATACAACATAGAGATTGAACAACAAAAGATTCTTTTATTTTAGGGACAAAAGATTCTTATATTGAAACAAACACATCGAGGAAATGCGAGAGTCTGTATGTACAAGAAAATTTACTTTTTTCAAAAAAAAAAAAAAAGGAATAAAATGCAATGAACAAGCATATTTATTCACAATCATTTACAAAGTGCCAAGCGCTCCATGCAGAAGGGGGGGGGGCAAAGACTCCCCCCTGATTCTCTGCCTGCTGCCATTTTTTTGGCCAAACAATAAAAGCTTATGTCCATAAATGAAGGAACACAACTCATGATGTCCCCTACCTAATACAGCAATACACACACACACACACACACTGCTAGAGAAGAACTGGGCAGAGTTGTTTCATCTGTGTGCAGCTTTGCTTGCTCCTGGCATGAGCTGATAGGACTCGGTCCAACAGCTCCTGGGGAACGGGATCGCCTCGTCTTTGTTGTGGAGATATTCTTGCAGTGTGCACTAATGTCTTCCATTTGTCCTACATTTGCATTTACAATGTTTTCCCAGCAGATCTTTTTGATTGACAAGAAGAAAATCATCTCCAAAAAGAAAACAGAAACGGTTTAACTAAAAAAATAAATGTGCGTGAGATTAAGAACAAACCTTCAAGTCAACATAAGTTCTGTGCTTGGCGTCATCAAAAGCTCGAAGCTTTACTTCGCGCCATCTGCAAAACAATACATCCACCCACCATATGGATATTAACTTTACGACTCGCTTTGATCGTCTTATTCTTCTTTGACTTGCTTATTTGGCTTGAAATGGATGTTACTAAACAACTCTTACCAAACAGGCCATGAGACTAACTACTAAGGGTACGTTTTATAAAGTTGCTGAAATCATGGTAAAATTGACAGAATTGGCTAAATGTTACATTAAAAACATGTAAATTATGAAATAATATCTGAAAATAAGTTATCATTTTTAGCAACAAAAGAAAAGTAACTTTGACCCTTATTTTTTTTCTATTATCCAATTTAGTAGAGATTGTTGTTCATAAGGCAGATCAACAGAAATTGTCCTACCAAAAGGACAAAAGGGCAGTAAAGATGAAATAAGGCAAAGAGTTGTTCTATAAAACAGCTTCCACAAACGAACCTTCCAGTACCAAGCTTCTCGACAGCTTGAACAAGTGCTTCCACTTCTGTAACAGAGAAAGGTCGGCGGATTCGACGTCGTGCTGCTTCATTGAACTTCAGCTTCCTTGCTGGAACCGTGGCACAGGTTTCTAGATTTACCCCAGGAATTGAAACCAGTGTTCTTGAATCTGCAAAAGCACTTTTATCTGATGAGACATCAGGATGGGATGGAGCTAAGTCACAATCACTTCCAGTGAAATTGATCATTTTGGTTCTTTCTTGATCAATTATGACATCATCTGCTGATCCCCACTGCGCTCCGGCATGAGCTATGTTGGGGGCAGGTGGATACCTGTTTCAAAATCATTACTGTAAATTCTATAGCAAGCGACACTACATTCTAGGCTGAAATATGTTTTTCATCCATGGAAAATATTTTTTTTTGTTTTAGGGTCCAGTAAAGTTTTAATGACTACAAACGGAGTATTATTCATTTTTGTAATTTAAGTTATTTTCTTTTTAGCCCCTCTCACCCAACTGGAGTTCTTAAGAGAACTCACATCACTTTTTTAATGGAGATTGAAATAGAGGGACTAGAAACAAAATGATATAAATTAAGGACAAATTGAAGATCAATGAAAAGAGCGGTATAACCCCAGCTCCATTGGTGTTTAGAGGGTCAAGATATACACAACCTTACATCTGTAATGACAGAGAGTTTTTTTCAGTTAGACCCTTGATGCAATGCTGCATTTACTGCCCAGAAAACTTCATAGAAAGTAATAAGCAAGTGAAGTTTAATGGGTCATTTTGATTTAGCCCATGATGTATCCGAAGCTAAAACATTATCAAAATGACTCTTTTAGCTCCATCGGGAATGGAGGACATAAATTGAAGATCCGAAGATATCTGGAATACCTGTGTAGTGGTTTGGGTGTGTCATAAGAAAGTTGAGTACGCTCTTTCGGGCATAGAAGTTGAGGAGGATCTTGAGAAGGATTGGGCTCGAGAGAGAAACCCAGCGCATCAAGCTTGTTATTGTGAGATATTCCTGTCTGTAATAATGTCTTTTTATCATCTCTAACTTTTTTGCCTTGGAAAAGCACACCGACACATAGCCTATCACCAAGTATTGCAGTCACTGCTTCCATCACTGTCCTCTAAAGAACAAGAACAATGCATTATAGTCTTTGAACTTGGCGGACAACAAAAAACAAACTCACTTTGATGAGGAAATCAAGTACTCAAAATGAAGTTTGCACATGCCTTTAGAGAACCAACGGTTGCAGTTTCTGGAATCTCTATAAAAAGCTCAGGAACACAGAAAGACTTGATTTTGAGCTTCACTGACCATATGAAAAATCTTTCATACGTCAGAACCCCCTTGAACAAACATAAATTGACTCGACCAAACTAATTTGTCAGAATTTTCGTATTTTTTGGTGGTTTCTCGAAGTAGGTGATAAAATATTCAATGGAAGGATCTCATACCATGGGAATCCCCAGGCCCGAAGGATAGATGTTCACTCGCCGAAAAGGTTGACGGGCCATTACAAGTAGTACTTATTCCATAGCTGTTTTCCCCTCCAGACTTTCCCACCGAGCCACAAGCATAAAGTTTCCTTTTTTTGTAAGGGTATTCTCTGAGAGATCCATGGTGCTTAAAACTATCTCCCACGTCTGTAGGGAATTATGGTTTCCAGAAGAACAAATTATGAATCAAATCTAATCAAATCGAATCAATGAGAATAATACCATAGCAAACACAATCCAAGACTCACCAAGATCAAGATCTTCCTTGTCATCTGGTTTCAGGTTCAATTCCCAGCATTTAGAAGCCAATAACTTCCTGAAGGTCCTATTAGAGGAGGTGTGGGGTGGGTCCCACTCCGTGGGGTTTTCGTCATCATCTCTACTACAACTACCTATCTTTACATCATCCCTATTTTTAGGCAAAGATCCACAACGACGAATGTGCTTCGTTGACAAACATAACTCTACATTGTCATTATTGTCTGAACAAACTAAACCAGGCGGTCTTCTGCCCCCAAGGCTAGATGTATGCCTAGAAAATGTGCAGTTTGGGGGTTGTGAAACAAGATCAGTAAGAAAGAAGCCCTTTTCTTGATGGAAAGAAGTATCAACCACGGCTCTATCTTCGTCCTGATTTCCATTCTTGAGGTCATTATCTTTAGAAGAACTGGGAGAGCTTTCCCCATCAACCAGCAACTGGCCAGCTATACAAGCTAATAAGTCAAAGGCACACATCTGATTGTCATGGCCTTTCCTCTTAGTAAGGCTTCTCCTCTAAAAGAGATGTGGCTAATAAGGACATTATCCAATAATATAAAAGTCAAATATCTTAAATACATAAGTGGGATTTACTTACCCTGGCTGATCTGGTAGCTCGCGGGGTTGGTGGCACCTGATAGCCATTAAATCCATAATAATCCAACCTCTTCTTAATCACCATATCTCAAAGGCATGCCAAAGAAGATCTCAAAACACATAGAGCAGTATCACTTTATTTTCTACTTTTTTTTAAATATCAAATTTAGATTCACACATTCTCTAATCACCTTAAACAAAACCCTGCAACCAAAATAAGGAAAAAATATGCAAGTTAAATTTCAACTGCATTATAAGATCCCGATGGAATATAATATTGATGATAGTGTCGGATTATTATTTGCAAAGGCTCGTAATGAAATTCATGTAAATCCTTCAACATCTAAGTTTAAGCAAATCTGGGAAAACGATTTCTACTATTCTAGGAATCTAAACTCTAAAACGCTTTCCTTTGAGTTTTCAAAATCATCCAAGCTTCTTCAATTATAAGATCTTGAAAATCAAAGATCATCATAGAGACAAACGAAACCCTCCCTTAAAAAAAGATTTAAGAAAGATATTATCATTGAACGAAAAGAAAAACAATGGCAAAATACACATACGGGATAAAATTTATCCTCCTCCCTCACTACGTGATCGAATTAAATAACCCATTGATGCGTCAACCCCATGAAGGAGATTAACCAGCAAACATTTAGGAAGGTTGGGATTCTCTACAAACTATTCAATGAGAAAAACATAATTTCCAGATCAAATAAAGGGCCATATGAGATGATCATGAATGCTGAAATGCAGCATTTTTTCCAGGTTGTCAGAAAACCATACTGGTTTTTCTTAATCAGAGGAGACAAAGATTTTGAACATTTTCAGATGATCACACCACACACGAGCAAAAGACGAGATTCCTTCGAAATTCCAGATGATTCTCGCTCAAAACCCATACTTTGGAGAAGAGAAAAATAAAAAAAAAACTCGCACAATTCAACACTAAAAATGCAAGATCGGAGGTCAAATGAAAATCTTTTACCCAGAAAAAAAACACAAAAAACGCAATATATAGTAATCTAGGAAAAGAACAAACCCCAAGAATTTCATCAACCGAGTGCGTATGAAACCCTCAACCCCATGGTTTTCCTCGCTCTGCTTTTCTCGAAACCCAAACATTTCCCAACACGCAACTTCTGGTTTTCATAATTTCTCTTTCTGTGTAAAATGGGAAAAACCTCAGAGAAAACCATCCCAGGCTTAAACCTCACCCCCCACAAGTTCTTATACAATTGACCCCAATGACCGGACCCGCCGGTAAAAACGACGGTTGGATAACCGGCTACAGTGTGTTGCTCGCCCACGCCATCAAACCACCTAAAGACCGGTTCGTCGCTGCGAGTGGCCCACATTTTCCTTGCCAAGTTGGCTCTGTATGGTGCCACGTGGAAAGATATCGGTTGTTCTTGCACGCTCAAGAAAAACGTTGAGTCGTGACTCGCGAAGGAGAGAGTTATTACTCCCTTCGTCCTAAAACTTTCTTGCGTAAAATGAAGAAAAATCTCAAATTTTTTTAATCTATTTTATTTAAATATTAGTATAGAAATAAAAAATAAAATATACATATTTAAAAACTACATCAAAAGTTCAACAAAATAAGTGGTGATAAGAATATTTTATTTTATCATATAGGCAATGAAAAAACACAAATAAATATAAATTCCTGTGAAGTTGAAATAGTGTTCTGGGAAGAAAGTTTTAGAACGGAGGGAGTATAATGGTGAAGAAAACGTTTTTTATTAGCATTGTTTTGGATAAAATTTAATAATATAAATTAATTCTGTAAAAGAATTACAACTTCTCAAAAAAATCAAAAAAAAAATCACAACCTCTCTTTCTCTCTCTCAAGTTCTCATTTTCTCAAATGTCTCTCAACCTCTCTCTCAATTTTTATATTTATAATTTTATATTTTTATGTACTATATTCATATATTATAAATATATTATATTATTATAAATTTAAACTATAAAAATATATTATATTACTAATATTAGAAATTTAGAAAATTATAATATCATTATAATATCATTATATTTTAATCTAATATAAAAAATATTAAAATGTTGGGACAGTCAGGTAAAAAATTTGTTGATATAGGCGTTGTGAACCGTAGAGTTTCAAACAAACACAAAGGCAAAGTCCACGTTACGTCCGAAGGTTCAAGCTCACAAGCCTCTCAAGCGAGACACTCTGTCTCGTCCTTTCTTACAATATCCGAACATTTTATAGGCAACACTATGAGTGTTCAAGAATTTGCTCATTTCATGGGCGACATTGGGGATAGGAATGATGTCAATCTTCAAACTCTTGTGGATATTTTCATAGACGATGAGAAGACGGAGAAACCAATACTCGAGAGCTACGATCCTACCGGGGAGGACGATGAGAGAGGTGAGCCCAAAACCTCTGAAAGTCCGAAGAAAGATAAAAAAAATCTAAATCTGATTTATTTATATATCATTTTCATAAAAAATAGAAAAAGGCACAATTACAAAAATTTGTAGACATTGTAGGGCAATAATAAACATGGGAATTTCTGAGGGTTATAGTTCTCTGACCAAACATCTCAAAGCGTGACATCGAGAATGATGGCGAAAAAAAATCACCCCACTTAGCACTCTAACTCATCTAAAACTACGCATTTAGCACTGTTTATTGTTTTTTACCAAATTAGCTATTTATGTTGTCAATATCTTTCAATCATACCTTTTATGTTGTCAATCCCTTTTATCTATGCCACTTATCAATTGTTTCAATTCTCCTTTCAACTCGTATATCAAATTCGGACTCACATAATGTATACTTTGTTAGTGGCATAGTACTCTTTTTTTATCAAATTCTTTTTTCAATCAATTAAATGTAGTTTTGAATACACATATATAATAAAAATACAATATATCAAAATTATATCATAAAAATATGCCAATTATAAATACTTCCTTCATCCCAAAATAGGGCTCTTATTCAATTTACGATGTTTGATTGAAGTTATTTTCAAATCAATATAAGTAAAATTTGGTGTATAATTAAAAAATAGGAATTATATATTAAAAAACTACATAAAAAATTCTATAAACAAGTGGTGACAATGGGACTTACATATAAAACTACCAATGTTATAAATTATTATTTGACTTTCATATTATGCAAACAGCTTGTGGTTGATTTTATGACAATAAGGTTTTACCATGAAAGAGATTGTTATGAAATGTATTACTCAATATGGTGGCTATAAATATTTGGATAGTACGGATTGATCATGTTCTCCAAACACTTTCTGGAAGTGAATTTGTCTTATAATAATGTGGTAGACAAGAGTGAAAATATGGCAGTGTATAAAAGTTTGCGGCCTAAACAAATTTGTATGAACTTCATTAACTTCCATTACTAATATGGTAGTGAAATTAGACATACATATAAAAATGCCAATGTTATGAATTATGAATTGAGTTTCATGTTGTGCAAAAGTCATGTGCTTCGTTCTATGACTGTTGAGTTTGAACATTCAAGAGTTCGTTATGGAAACGTGTTACTGAATAAGGACTGATATTTTTTTGACAGTGTAGAATAATCAACTTCTAGCTACACTTTTTGGAAATGTCCTATGACCATGTTTGCCTAGTGTGTTTTGGTCAAATGTGATTTATATCTAAATATCTCAATGTAATAAATTATTCATTGAGTTCCATTGAAAGTGGATACAAAAAAAATCACCAAAATGACTAGTGCTTGAATAACTTAAATAAACAAAGTATGAAGTATAAGCTCAAAGATTTTTGGCATTGTCTTGTGATCTAGATATACTTTTTGACAGTGTGTTATTGTAACACCCCAACCCGCGTGACCCGAACCAACGGGTTAGCGAACCGGGTTGTTACTAAATTGGTATTCGCATGCGTAATTTCTTTTTTTTTTAAAAAAATAATCAACTGAATAAATTATAAAATTCATCCGTGAGAGTTCAAAACTAAACCAAATTTTTATCGGAGTAACAAAACAAGTCCAAACGTCGCGGAAGCATAATAAAACCAAAGTAACGTCCAACAATCCATGAAATCCATTAAAATAATGTAGTTTAATTATTAAAGTAATTAAAAGCCATCCACGCCACACCACCACTTCACTGCCCTCCGGGTTGCCCTTCAAAATCAGTGTTCCTACCTGCGTGCAGTCAAACAACAACGACTACACGCTCAACGAATTGCTGAGTGAAAATATACCTAAGCTAGCATTAACTCACATATTAGCACCACATTAACATCCAATCACAACAGCAAGTGGTCACGGAGAAAGAACATAGCTTAAATAAACATATTTATTTTAACACCTTCCATTTGCACATCATATCCTTATTTTATTCCATATCAACTACTTTGAGTCATGACACCCCAAGCGATGCTATAAAAGGGCCAGCTCAGAAACCCAAATGAGATTCACTTTGGGCGGGTTGAAGCCCCTGTCCCTGCGATGCCAGGACAGGTCGCGGACTTCCGTACGTACGTTTTAACCCAAGACCACCGGGGGTGCGACGACGCCCCGCAATGGCCAATTTCCTAACCGCATCCTATTGGTGATTAAATTAGTCAATCCAATTCAGGTCTGCCTAATTATACTATGTGGCCTATTTCTCATACATTACTCATAATCCACAATATCAACCAATAAGATTAATTTAATTTAACATTAGTTCACAAATTCACAACAAATCACATAGCATCATGTATAACCAACAAACCGTCATGCATAATCAACAAACCCAAATTACAATTAATCAAACCTACCTGCGCGGAATCGAGCCCAAGGAATCGATCCTCCAGCCCGCTGCCCCAGCCAGAGTAGTCTCCATCGTCGCCGGAACAACCCCGGCACCCCCACCGATAGCCGCCCCGGCTGCCCAAACCCGAAGCCATGCCAAACAGCCCCGTTGGGGGATTCAAAACAACCCGAACAGTACATCAATTAACCCAAAACAGTCCAATCACATCCAATGGCACCCAATTGAATCTAAATAGCCCAATTGAATCCGTTTAGACCCAATTAAACCCAATTGGAACCAACTCATGCCAATTGAACCCAATTGGTCCAAATAGAGCTGCCGCCCAGTCCCCGTCAAGCTTGTCGCCGACGTTGCTGGCGGGTCGCCGGAGAAGACGCTGGAAAACAGCCCCCAAACCCCAATTTCATGAATTCAACACAAGCATTCACAATTCTCAATCAAATCGCCGGATTATATGCTAAGCAAGTTCTAATCTACGAATTAACGCTAACCGAAGGTATATAAACAACAAATCACCTCGAATTTGTTGAAGGGAACTTGAACCGGAGAAAGGGGAAAATTGCCGCTGTGACTCGTCGCGGCTCACGCGCACGCCGGCGGAAAAGGGGAAGGACGGTCGCCGGCGCTGGTTGCCCTGGGACGGAGCTCGCCGCTGGAACTCCCGTCGTCGACGCAGGACTAGCCAGAAATCTCGCACGCCGTCGAAGAAGGGAGAGGGAGGTGGGGTCGCCGGCGCTGTTTCCCTGGAACGAGACCCATCAGTTGCTGCCGCGATCGCCGGCCTGACGGAGCGACGAAGACCACGAATCGGCAGTGCTGAGGTCGATGGGTTGAAACGGACGAAGAAAGAGGAGAGACGCGAGTTTCCCGTAACTGCCAGCCTATTAATATATAACTAAATAAGTTTTAAGGTCCAATTTACACTTTCTAACGAGTTAGGAAGACTTAGGCCCCAATTACCTCATTCTGGCCGTCGTATCTTGGGCCCTATAAGCCCGATTCTTAATCCATTCGCGCGGTCGGGTTCAGGACAGTGCGCCCTACAACGTAGGTTAACTCTAATATTAAATACACAAATTAGAAAATAGTCTTCGTATTGTGTGACTCAGTAATTAAATAATTATATAAATTAATTAAAAATACTAAGTCAGGTTTCAGGGCGTTACAGTTATGTCTTATGTTTTGGCCAGTGTGCTATGATGCACAATTCTACATAATGCTGCAGTGTATGCTACTTATAAAGTCTTAACATTTATAACATAATATCTTCCATTATCCATTTCTTTTCAGTACCACATAAATGAAATTCAACATATGTCTAATACTAACATCTTCTAACATTAAACAAAATCAAGAAAGACCAAAAAACCAAGCCCGTGTTTGGCCAGTGTGTTTTGATGAAAATAGATTATTCATGAAACCAGTCGTCATACATTTTTGGGCAGTGTGAAATTCATAAATGAAAACAGTCATATACATTTTTGGCAGTGTGGAATTCATACATGAAATCAGTGTGGAATTCATACATAAAAGGAGCTATACATTTTTTGGGCAGTGTGGAATTCATACGTGAAAATACGCATACACTTTTTGACAGTGTAGAATTTATGCATGAAATCACTGCCACATAAATCAATGGACATTACACTACAACATGAAATTAAAGAAACACAATAATACATTGACACATTGCCGTAAGATATAGCAACATATATTCATTCTACACTGCCACATTAAATGCTCACATATAAAAACCATACTGCATGCCCACTACACAATTACGAGTGAACAACCACACTGCCCAAAACAATCATATTTTTTGACAGTGCATAATGAACATTTGCTGTTTAATTAAAGGACAAAATCGGAATCACAGGTACGAAACATATAGCACTGCTATTCAGAGTATTTTAATGCTCTAAGAGTGCTATTTTGGTTTTTCTCCCTGGCAGAAAATGGACCTAACTTTCTCGTTTTGTAAACAAAGATAATAGCGGCCGTTTTGCTTATAGCGAAGAGAAAAATAAGTAAAAAAATGACCGAGATGATTTGTGGGGAAATTTTATCATTCATGTTTTCTGAAAAATTTAGATTTATTGATTATTGTCCAGATGCACTAAACCCTCAAGCAAGAGGATTTTCAAGAAAAACAAGTAAGAGAGAAATTATTAGACAATATAAAGATGAAAAAATAATTTAGCAAATTTTTTTCTTATTTTTAATTCTCTTGTTACGATAAGTTCTAAATTTGGAGTAAAACTTATCAGAATTTGCCTTACATCAGTGTTACTTGTCATTGGATATGTAGTGGTTGGATAATGTATAAATATGTTCTTGCATTTTGTGATTTCAATGAATCTCACACGGGTGATAATATTGTTCTTTGGGAGAAAGACCAAACTAGGACTAAAACATTGAAAATATACCAAAATAGGACTTCCATGTTTTTATTCCCGAAATAGGACTTACATTACCAAACATGGTCATATACATTACCAAAAAAGTATAGTAATTTGCACATGTACACTGACACATTACCACAATGCAAAGTCACATTACCACAGTGCAAAGTCCTATTCCGGGAAAAAACATGAAAGTCCTATTTTGGTACTTTTCTCTATGTTTTAGTCCTATTTAGGATGATTTCTGTCTTTTACTTGAGCGTATTTTGAAAGAAAAATTTACTTGATAAAGTATTTGCATTTGGTTTTTGATAATGCTACTAATAATACTGATGTCATTCATAGACATTAAGGCTGATTTAAAATTAATTTAAGGTAGTCATGATAACTCTCATGCATGGAAGTCTTACTCGTAAATCTAGGAATAAAAAACCAATAACATTTGTTAAGGACATTACAATTAAATGAAATAGTACATATAAGTTGATTGAATAGATTTTGCAATATAAAGAAAAACTTGCTTTATTTCTCAAGTATGAACTTAACCATATTATAGATTTGAATGAATTTATTTTTGTTGAAAAATTGAACAACATGTTAATAGTTTTTAATAATGTCACTCTTACTTACTCGCATGTTTATAAGTCTATGACAAATAGATTTTTTATGAGTGTCTTACAATTACTACATGTTTTCGTAAAAGTTTATCTGATCCACATTTGCACTCTAATGTGTCTCCTATGAGGGATAAATGGTGTGTTTAGTACTTGTATATTCCTGATATTTATAAAATTGGTATTATTTATGATCCATGCTTTAAAACTATGAGTTTTAAAATTCTCATGGAGTATTACAGTAGTTTTTTAGATGATAATGGTTATTTTTATCGGTATTTACTATAAGCTCATTTAAGAGTTTCTTTACGGTTATTACTTCATCACTTTTTTAACCGTCAAGATATTAAATGTACATTACTACAAAAACTGGAAAATGCATCGGTTAATTTAGAACAATTGCACCGATTTTCTTTCTATGATAATGCATGCGATGTAAAAGGTCTAGATCAGTTTCATCGGTTTTCATAACCGATGCAATTGCTATCAATTGCGTCGGTTTTCATAACCGATGCAATTGTTATCAATTGCGTCGGTTTTCATAACCGATGCAATTGCTATCAATTGCATCAGTTTTCATAACCGATGCAATTGCTATCAATTGCATCGATTATTAGATAATAACTGATGCGGTGCGCAGTTTTTATTTTTTATTTTAATAAATGGAAAAAATGGATCGGTTATTAGGTAATAACTGATGCCATTGATATCCAAATGTATCGGCTATTACTTAACAACCGGTGCATTTGCTCCATTCTATTAAAAAATATAAATCTGCTTCAGGTAGTAAGACCTGAAGCGCAAAAAACAAATGCTTTGATTGAAGGGACATAAGGAGCAAAAAGACTGGAAAATTGAAGAAGACATAATAACAAAAGGAAAAAACTTCTGTCGAATATAATACAACTAAAATTGAAAAAGCATTACAAACTAAAGAAGAGTTATGGAATCAAATTTGAAGAAAAATACATATCATAGGCTGTAAGAAAAAAGTTGATGGTGGCGACGCTCAAAATCGCTGCTACTTGGGCTTCAGATTTGAACATGAAGCCAAACGAACCTGCACTTGCATGCCGTCAAGAAAATCCAGCGGTTAATGGAGTCGGCCACGCTCTGTGATGACCAGAGAAAGGCTAACTTCGTGTTCCAGATTACCTTCTGATGGCTCGGCTCGAGGGTGAGTTCACTCGAGCATCCTAGTTGTTCACTCCAACCCTATCTGACCAGATTCATTGCTCGATTCAAGCTCTTCCTCTTCCAACATCGGTGGGTACGGTTACAGTGTGGTGGTGGGGCGGTGCCGGAACTGGCGGTTTGAAAACCAGAATTGTACCGGAACCGGACCATGTCCACCGCTAGCTATTACTATATTGTATCACTTAAATTGTATTTGCTTGTGTGATATCATATACTTAGATTCCATTCTTTAGGGTTTGAACTCTTAACTTCCAGTTTCTTCCTATTCCTTCCCATTTCTTCTAGTTTCTTCCTATTCCTTCCAGTTTCTTCCAATTTCTTCCAGTTTCTTCCAACTATACTCATTCTCTTCAAACTCTTTCTACTCCCCAACTAATTACTCTAAAAACGGTACATTTTTAATGTGATTATTATTATTATTACAATTGTTATGTTCATAATTATAGTTCATAAATTATTTTTTTCATCTCACTAGTTTTACGATTCACACTCATTATTTTTGTCTTCAACTTTTTAATATGAATAAGACAATTTTTTGTATATTAATCTACATGATAAAATAGGAAAATATCAATATGTTAAACTATATTAAAAAATTATGGATAAAATAGTGACATAGAATGTTTTATTAATCTAACTTTATATAAGATCTCTCACCTTTCCCTTTATTACTTAAAATTTTCATTTTTCTAATTTTTATCAAAAAAAATTGAAAGTCAAAATATTTTAGAGAAAAAGACTAAAATAGGAGTAAAATATATGAAATGTAAAAAAAAAGTTCGATGTCTTTATTCTAAAAATAGGACTTCAATGAAAATAAAATGTCAATCATGAAATAAAAAATAGGTTTGATTACATTATGTGACATGTGTGATATTTAAAACAAAATCTTTTAATATATAAAGTATAATTACAAATATATTATTTATAATAAACACTGCATAAATAAATTGAGGTGCAACGTAACTACAAAAACTTTTTAAAATTTAATATTTTTATATTTATGCTAACTTTATATTATAATTATTTTTTGCAAAAGTAATTTTTTGTATTTGAAAAATAACAATACTTTTTTCGTATCTTAAAGACATTAATTAAGATAACGTGATGATTATGATGATGATGATAATAATAATAATAAAAATAATAAAAATAATAGTAATAATAATAACAATAAAAATAATAATAATAATTTATAACAACAAGAATTTAAAATAATTTTTTTAAAATTTTTTATAGGGTTTCCATTTTTTTGAAGTTTTCCAGTTTTTTCCAGTCTTTCTAGTTTTTTCCAATACCTTCTAGTTTTTTCCAGTTTCTTGTAGTTCTTCTAGTTCCTTCTAGTTTTTTCCAATTCATTCTAGTTTTTTCCATTTCCTTCCAAGTTTTGTCCAATTTCTTCCAACATTCAGTCTTTTATTTCCAGTCTTAAAGAACATGCTCTTAATGGTGAATTATGACCTTATCTTTGTATATTCAAAGTGTTAGACCCTCTAAATCCGATTAACCATTGAGCGTGCAATTGTTATTTTTTACTACACACAGAAGGTTGATGTTAGAGATAAAATTAAAACTTGAGGGCAATGAGACAGAGGAGATGTACAAATGCATGACTAAATAATTACTGGATATGATGGATTTCTAACATGAATAGTTTTAAGTTTTTTTCATCATTTATTCTCGAAGTCTTCAAAAATAATGCAGATTTTCCTCTGTAGACGAGAAATTATCTATATTTATTTTTTCCTCTCATACGAACGAAAATACTTAAAAAAAATTGTGTTTTCTTTTTTCTTTTCTTTCTGTGCTTTTCTATCCAACCAAAAACAAATGAAAATATTTTCAAAAATTGTGCTTTCTTTTTTCTTTTCTTCCTCTCCTTTTCTATCCAACCAAACAAAGATGAAATAGTGAAGAGGAAAGGAGGGCGAATGAAGTAAAAAGAATTGTTTTTTATTTTGGGTAAATGTTGAGGTAGTCCGGCAAAGCTAGTGGTGAAGGGACCATCGCCAGCAACACAGCATTGCAGGCTGTATTGATTATACATCGCCTCCAACAAGCTTTTTCAATCATCGATTTTCTTTTCTTGATTTCTTTGTTTTAACGTTCAATCATCATCGGCTTCCCCGCCTCAACAGAAACCCTAACTCCTTCAAACCTGGTTCATATTCGTTGATTCAGCCAGCCGTACAGATTCTGTAGTCAAATCCAATTGTTTGGGATCATATTACTGGAAATCATAATGAAAGAGAGAAAATCGGCCAAGGATAATCAGCACCCGCAGCATCACTACCACCAGAATGGTCACTTGTCTCCATTTAAGCTCGCCAAGTTGTTCGATCCTGACGCTTCGTGGGACAAGGTTCCAAATTTGGATCTCTCTCTCTCTCTGTTTTCTTCTTTCTTAATTTGTTTGTGTGGATTACGATCAAATTGGTGTTTTTTTGTTTGTTTATTAGTGTAGTTGAATTTAGCATGTACACGCTCATTGTTGGAATGTTTTAAAACTCTCAATTGTTGTTTTGATGAAGAAAATGGTGAGAAGGATGCCTTATAGAAGAGTACTTGTAATTTCTTTTTTCTTCGGAGGGGAGCTTATTTACTAGACTGTGTATAGAGATCAAAAGGGATTGGACTAATTTTTCCATGTTTGTTGTGCTAGTGGAGACTTGTCTTAAATTAAATACCAATCTATCAATACCGATTTGATCGATCTGTGTACTCATTCTGTTTGGATCCAAAGAAAAGTCTATGGAGGGCAATCATTTCCGTAAACATTTGTATTTTGTACTCCGGTAGTTAGTAACTTATACAGCATTGCATTCAGGTTTGATATTTTACCAGATTAAAAGTAGAATACAAGTCTATAATAGATAATGCATTAGACTAGTTGTTCAGGTGCAAGTTGTGTCTAGTGCTGAGTATTTGTTTTTTAAATATTATCTGTTTTTCTTGAAAAATTATACATGTGTCATGCTGTTTGTATTTACCGTTGAATATTCAGGTAATAATTACTTCATTGCAGGATCAATTGGGTGATGTATTGCATTGGACTAGACAAGTTATGGCTCTTGTTTGTGGGTTGATTTGGGGAGCAATTCCTTTAGTTGGTGGCTTCTGGTTTATGTTGTAAGTTTATTCATAAATAATATTCACATCTATACAAACTTTGCTGTTGAAGCTCTAGTCTTTAGCACTACCATGATTAGTTTTCTTTATTGGGAAAGCTTAGTGTCAGAAGCTTCCAAATTATGGTCTGTCTCTGTTAAGGGCACATGTACACGTCCTCATCTAGGGCTGGAGGGTNGGGGGGTTTGCCGTTGGTGGCACTATGGGGGCTTGGATTACAGTGTCTTGCCTTTGGCAGAGAGAAGGCTTGGCCTTGTCTAAGACACCAAAATAGTACGGATTATTCCAAGTAAAAGCTCTGTATTCCATCTTATAATCCTTATATAGGAATTACTAAGTCGTAGTAGTAAAAGGAAACAAGATAATAAAAAAGACTTCCCTACCCTATACATTCTACAACCATGATTAGGTAACAAAGAAATTAAAGGAAACACAATAATCATACAATAAGCTTCCAAGCGTGTGGCTCATGCATCCCGCCTTTGCTGGTATGCACGGCTGAGAGAAGCATCCATTACTGGGACAGTCTTCTCCATGCACAGTTTAGTACTTAAGTCTATTTGTGTGTAGATTCAGTGAACATATTGGTAAAAGAGGCCTTGTTATTTAGGTAGGCCCGCTCCAGTATAATAAGTTATTTTTAATTCAATGAGCCAACAATTTGTTGTAAGTTGTACTGCTACATCTCTCACACTTAGAGATTAAAAGGAGAAATGAGGTTGCTTATTATAATCTGAAGTTTAGTTTTTAGTACCAAAGCCCTACACAATCGATCAAGTAGTGTTGTTTTCCAACGGTTTTCAAAATTTTTAAGTGCGTGTTAGGAGATGTTTTTTGTGTATTTTCAATTTGACTCAGTCAAGCCCTTTTAAAACCAAGTTAGTAACTAAGTGCTCAGAAAAAGAGTCACGTTTCTTGAAGGTATAGCTTTTAACTTTTTGAATAATGCACAACACTCATAAATTATCAATCTTAGTATTTTAAATTTCTTTGCTTATTCAACGATGTTAAAGCGTTTAACATACTTAGTCAATTAGTTGTTTGTAACATCCCCCCCCCACAAAAAAATATCACACTGAATTCATTGAGAAAGTAATGAGTCCCTATGTGAACCCCAATGAACATCTACGTACTATGAACATTTATTTGGTTTATGTGCAATGACCACTTATTTCCAAATGTGATGAACAATGGCTAGACTCCCCATGCCCCTGAACCCCAGCTGACCAACTCATTATGCATTCTGTGCATCATCCAACATTTACAAATATTGAACATTCATAAGATTTTCCCAAAAGTTTATTTGACATTGTAATGCATGTTATGTTTGGTAAATGTACTCTAATCTTTGCCCCCACAACCCCCCCCCCCACACCCCCATACACTAAAAAAAGAACTCATATTATAAAGAAATAAAGCAAGTTATCCGTTTTCAGGTTTCTTGTGTTATCGTCTGGGATTATCTACGGTTATTACGCACTGGTACTGAAAATTGATGAAGAAGATTTCGGTGGTCACGGAGCTCTCCTGCAAGAAGGGCTTTTTGCTTCTATAACACTATTTGTGGTATCTGATCTCCCTTTTTCATGTTGTGACGCTATTACACAGAGTATAATACTGCAGATAATCTACCTTCGCCCGTTAATCATCTTTGTTTCTTGTTTTTTTCAGCTAGCGTGGACTCTGGTATACAGTCTATCACATTTCTGATCCTACTCGGCCTGGTTGTCGAGTCATTGCTTTACCCGAGGAAGAAAAAGGCTAACTTTGTTTAGCAGAAGAATTAAGGTTTGGTTTAGCAGAACACCTGAGTTGTGCAATATTATTTTTGTACTTTGGGTTTAAACAAACTAGTGTTAGCTTCAAGTTCATCATAGTTTCTTTTGCAGTAGGGACCTTTTCTTTTCCGAACGTTGTTTTTTGCAATATTTGGCGTTGGATTAGTTGTTCCGTTGGTCTTTTTACACACAAAATAATTGTGTATAAAAAGTGGAGTGTTACACAGAAGATGAATAAGAGGTCTGAATTTTATTTAAAAAAATTCAACATTTGACACAATTATGTTATTTGTAGGATAAATTTTACGAGAATTTTATTGTAGTACCTAAACTTTAAGCTTGCCGCAAAATACTTGAATTTTAAATTTCTTTCACGTATGGTACTTGAAGCCAGTTTCCAAATGTCGATCAAGTCAATTGGGCTAAATTGTACTCCGTAATTTTATACGTATATTTTATACTGTTCAATTTAAGCTCATTTATATTTTTAACTTCTCCCCACACCCACCCTCTTCTTCTTTTTCTGTTTTTCATAACTTTTTATCTTAGAGCATGTTTATTAGAGCTTAAACTCATAATTTCTAGTTTCATATAATTTTTTCCAGTTATTTCTAGTTCCTTCAACTTTTTTCAGTTCTTTGCAGTTTTTTTAGTGTTTTCTAATTTCTTCAAGTTTTTCTATTTATTCTCATTTTTCTTAATATTTTTCTACTCCCCAAATAATGGCGGTAAAAAGGATGTGTTTTTCACACATCAATATTATTATTATTATTATTGATTAAATTAAAATGGAAACATATTAATTAGTAATTAATAGAAATTAAACCAAAAATGGCAAGTAATACTTACCATGTAAGGAGTCACACCAAACATAGCATTGAATAGTATCCATATATGCTTCACATGTATTGAGGCAAGATAATTAAAGTACTAAATAGTTTCCATATATTAGCACCACGTATGGGCGGGAAAAAATTCCCCCCCACTTTAAGTATAGTATAGATTTGTTTGTTTTATTGTTTTTTTATCTTTTTTTGTTTACTTTTTTTTGTTTGTTTTCTATTTTCTCGATAAAGTTTGTTTTTTTTGTTTCTAGCTCTCCTCTTTCTATTTGTTTTGTGCTTGTTTTATAGGAAATCACTCTAAATAAGAGCAAAACATACAGAAAGATCAAAATAGGAGTTTCATACTTTCATTTTCTAATTAGAAATTTACACTCTGGTAATATGACAGTGTAGATGTACTTTTTACTATATTTTTTGGTTATATATATGGTCATGATTGGTAATGTAAATACATTTTGACTCTTATTTTGGGAAGAAAAGTATGTAACTCCTATTTTACTATATTTTCAATGCATTTTTCCTACTTTAGTCTTTTTCCCTTGTTTTATTCATTGGGTTTTGTTTAATTTTTGTAAAAACCCTAAAACAAACAAAAAATAAGACAATTAAAAAAATAGAAAAAAACAAATAAAAAAAGACGTTCGTTAAAAAATCACTTTTAACTTTATAAACTCTTATCATACTTATTTAGAAATAGTTTATACATCACGTCTTACTTTTAGTCTTTTACCAATCAAAAAAATCAATTCATGCAAAACATGTCTTTTCCGTAAATTCCATAAAAGTCTAAATAGTAAGGAGATTAAGGACAAGCTTGTTTTTGTGATGTTGGAGAGTTGGCGAAGACTTTAGATTGCATATATAATTCCTTTCCATGTCATCCTAATTTAAAAATAAGAACCGAGTAGAGATATTGTTTTAAGAGATAAATTTGTAGAAGAAAAACAATTAAAACTATAATTCCCCTCAAATACTCCCTCCGTCCCATAAAGTGTTACCCATTTTGACTAAAGTTAAAATTAAGAGAGTGATAATTTTGTGTTGATTTTCCAAAAATACCCCTGATGTGATGAGTAAAAGTAGGATGTGATGTGTAGATTATTAGGAAAAAGGTATGATGTGATAGGTAGGGTTTGAAAAAGTAAGGGGTAAAAGTGGTTTTTTATTGAAAATGGGTAAAGGATTGTGGGACACAATTTTTTTGAAACGTGTAAATCTTTTTAGGACAGAGGGAGTATCAAAGAAAACTTCCTAAATAGTAAAATATAACCATATTCTTAAAATAGGACCTTAAACAGAAATTCTCCTTCCCTTCAATCCTCCCTCCCGTCGTCAAACATTTTTTTCGATTGCTTTTCAAAGAATCTTACATCGATTCTGTTTAGTTTGGATGATTCTTTCGTTTGGATTTTGGCACACCTCCCCTTGAAGGTATCAAAATATTTGAATTGGTATCTAAATTTTCTTTCGAATTGGTTGTTAGATTCATTTTTTTACTTCTTAAGAAATGATTTTGAAAATTAGATCTGAATTTATTTCTTCTAAATGTGCTTTTCTGATGGTTTCAAGCTGTTTTCTGACTCCAGTCGCCATAAAGGTGATTGTGAAGTGGGTGATGGTCGCCGGCAGGCGTCGTGCGGGGCATTGGGTCGTGTTTTGGCATTTTGTATTTGTGTGGCACTGTGAATTCACATGTATGACATTACATATGGCCATCTGTGGTATTGTGCATTGTCATATGACATTATTTTTTATATTCTAACAGGATTGTTTCGATAGCATGCTAGCAGCGATGTAAAAGTGCGATGTCCTAGCAGGGCACTGAACGGTGAAATTTTTCACCGTCACCGCTATGATGACATTGTATATTGTCGTGGTGATGTCGGCAATAGTGGTTGAGACTGGCAATGTCGTCGATGACGGTGAAAAATTGATGGGGTATGGTGTTGTCAAGGAATCAACTCAACCAAAAGCTCAAGCTTGAGGTTGTAGCTCAGAAAATGTTTCTTACATTCTAACACGCCACATCACGAGCAAGCGTAATCTTTTTTCTTAACATTGCACGTGAAACCTTAATTTTTTTTAAATTAGGCGGCGCTTAGTTTTGAACATGTGATCTCTTTGTCAACAAAGCTCCGATACCATGTCAAAAAACCAACTCAACCAAAAGCTCAAACTTGTGGTTGTGGCCCAAGAAATATTTTTTATATTCTAACAGGATTGTTTCGATAGCATGCTAGCAGCGATGTAAAAGTGCGATATCCTAGCAGGGCACTGAACGGAAGGAGTAGAAGACTAGAAGTTATTCAGTCTTTGTCCCAAAAAAAAGATAAAGAAATGCGTTTGCCGGGAGTCGAACCCAGGTCTATTGCTTGGAAGGCAATTATCCTAACCGTTGGACTACAAACGCTGGTGATAAAATCTTCTCGTTGAGAATATAAGACTATACAAGAGCTAAGACTTCGCATCGACAAAAGGTGAAACATAATAGTCGTACTACGTAGTAATTAGATTAGGTGAAACATCAAATTCAGTACACTCTTTTCTCGGGAAGATAAAAAATATTTACAATTTGTTGTTGCAAATATAAAATGAGTTTCAACTTTCAATTTAGAGCACTTTAAACCCCTATTTGGATACTCATATTTATTAAATAGTATTCCCTCCGTCACAGAGTATTTGTCCATTTTCATTTTTACACACACTCCAATACATTTCTTTAATCCATTTTATCTTGTAATTTGTATATTAAAAAATTATAGAAATTATATAGTAATAATCTATATGTTAAGACAAATCAAACAAGATCACACGTGACTATATTTAGGCTTATACATTGAGAAAATTTGATGAGTCAAAGTGCTTAGATGAATAGTTCCAAAAGTCAAAACTGGACAAATACTCCAGGACAGAGGGAGTATTATTTATTATTTATTAATATTCTATAGATTAAAGTGGAATATTTATTTTCTTTTCTTCTTTATAAAATCAAAGTGGAGTTACCAACTTTGATAAATATAAATATTACTTCGTAATCTATACTGATAAAGATGAAAATTTATATAAAATTATTTTCTCTCTTCTTCTTTAGATCTTTTAGAAGGACAGAAAATAAGTTTATTTACCTTCTAATTAATATTTTATATATGAGAAAAGTACTATTTAAACATTTTTCCCATTTCAAGAGGAAAAGTGGTGAAGGAAAATAATGAGATACTTTCTTTCCATTTTTATTTTCTCTCACCTTTCCAAACACATTCTATTCCTTCACGTTTTTATTTTTCTTCCTTTATTTTCTTTCCACTCTTATTTTACTTCTCTAGAGTAAAAGTAGTTATTATCCTAAATGAAAAATCGATATTAAAAGTTGGACCGTTGAGTAAAAGTGATCAATTTGTGTGGATTTTGTCCCATTTAGGATTCTTAGTAAAAGTGATCAATAGGTTTCACTTGCTTGTATGTCTAACATTCTTTCTTCTTTTCACAATTAGCAGAGATTATAGAGCTACACTGGGCATAAATTTTTGGCAACTTTTTGGACTCAGAAGTGTTATGACAGAAGAAGGGAGCGGGATTGAAAAAGTTAATAACAAGTTAACAAACTAGTTCTTAAGGCATTCTCATTTGTTGGCGTGTACTTGGTCCAATTCGAATGAAAAACCTCTACACATATGAGCGATTTTGTCCTAGATGTTGCCACGATTTCAATGTGCATCGCCTAATATCAATTTCCACTTCGCATTATCTCTTTAACACTATGTTTGGTTCAAGGAATTCAAAGGAGAAAAGAAAAGAAAATGAAGTAGAAAACAAGTTTTCTTGTTTGGTTAGAAAGGAAAAGTGGAAGGAAAAGAGAATGAGAAGGCAAAATGTACTAAGTGAATACTAAGTGAAGGAAAAATCATATTCCTCCCATTTTAGTAAGGAAAATGAGAGAAAACCATTTTCTTTTCTTTTCTTTCAAAATTCCTTGAACCAAACATAGTATAAATGTTTGTCGATCTTGGCCGAGAAATTGTCACAATTTCAGTGTGCATACTTACACCAATTTCCACTTTGGAGAGACTCACAATGCTTAATGTTCTTGCATCAGTGAAGAAAAAACAAAAATGTTCAATGGCCTGTCATCTGTGAAGAAGATGAGAAAGAAAAAATAAGAAATGAAAAATTCAAACAAATACTCTAAGAAATTTGTGGTTTTATGTTAATACTTTTAAATTAAATAATCTATATCATTATTGCTCTCAAAAATTACTCAATTTTATATCAATACTCCAGGTTGTCAATAAAGTAGAATACATGGCATTTTAAATGGTGACTCGAAATTATTAAGTATAAGTTGGTAACAACGGAGTGATAAAAATAAAGAAAAATATTGTTTTAGACAAAATAAACAATTTTGACATAGATATTTCATAATCAAATTTACATTTGTTGAAAAGATCTTTAAAATATAAATTTAACTATGTATCAACTTTAAAATTTCTCTAATTTTTAACTTGAAACACTCTTCATAATTTATCAGATTAAAATATAAATACTTTATTTTTTTCAATTTTAACACATTTTTATTTTAAATCAACATTGAAGGAAGTAATTATAAGTCATTCAATGTGTTTTATTTGTTTTTGTAATTAATTAACAGTTCATACTTAATAATTATTCAGTTAAAACGCACGAATTCAACTTAGTTGGCAGCTTGAAGTATTGATGTAAAATTGAATAATTTCTGCAATTATTGTATTTCAGAATATTAAGGTAATATTAAGGTGATTTCAAGTTTGTGTTTCAAAAAAATCCACGTACAAAACCCAATGGTTTTAAATTGGATTCAACACAACTAGATCAGATCAATTTTACCAAATTTGTAGGTTATTAATAGTTGAAATATCTCACATATCTAATATCTAACAACATAAGTGTGATGCTTAATGATCTTGCTGAATCATACAAATCAATCGGTATGTGTTGCCAATCAGTATGCAATGATTTCTTGAGTGCAGGAGTATGGCCAATGATAAATAAACACAATGTGAGAGATATGGCCATTTTTATGTTACCAAATACTCCGTATTTATTATCAATGTTTGCCTTCTCACCACATTAGCACAAGCCAAAAAAAAATGTACAATGGCAGATTGCAACAATACATTTGGGCATAGAGCTGAGCACAAAAAAAGTATCTGCCACAAAGCCTTCTCACAAGTCACAACACCCTACAAAAAACTTGCATATATTATCATACTTCAAAAGTTCTTATTGACGTTTTATCAATATAAAAAAAAATACTCTTCTATTGAAATGATTGTACAATGTTGGTATTTTATTAATGGCATCTATAATTATCATATACAACTAGATATCAACGTTAAAATGAATGATATTCTAAAATTACATTTCAAAAGGAATTAAATATTTTGTTATCCAACGATTACTCCTTCCATCCCAATTTACATTTCACTATTCATAAGATCAAACTTTATCCGTGTTGCATATTTGTGTTACTCCCTCCGTCCCATTTTATAACGTCTGTTTCGGTTTACGATGTTTGACTGAAGTTATTTTCAAATCATTTTATATGATAAATGGTACAAAATTAAAAAATGAAAATTACATATCAAAATACTACATCAAAAGATCTACAAAACTAGTAGTGACAACAATATTTTATTTTATCAATTTGCTAACAAAAATAGAGAAAGAAAGTGAATGAAGTTTGACCCTGTGAATAGTGAACATGCATTATAATTTGGGATGGATATTTGATAGCCAATGCACCTTTGTTTAGTAAAACTTTTGCTAAAATTTTTAAATATGTACATGTTCTCTTTTTAATTTTACACTAAATTTTAGATAAATTGAATTGGAAGTTATTTCAATCAAATATTGTAACATATTTAAAGCCACATGCAATACTGTTTTGGGACAAATTTTAAACAGAGTTAAATTTTACAACGAAAGTTAAACTGGAATGTTAATTTTGGAGCAATATGTTATTTAATATATTTGTATTGGCTAAATTTGGGAAAAACTAATTAAACAAAAAATTATTATCTCCATCCTAATATATTTGTCCACTTTTGACTTTTAGAACTGTTCATCTAAGCATTTTGACTCATCAAATTTTCTCAATGTGTAAGCCTAAATATAGTCATGTGTGATCTTGTTTAATTCGTCTTAACATATAGATTATTAATATATAATTTCTATAATTTTTTAATATACAAATTACAAGATAAAATGGATTAAAAAATGTATTGGATGATGTGTAAAAATGAAAGTGGACAAATATTCTGGAACGGATGGAGTACTTAAAATTGGATAAGAAGCTCCACCCGGTCATCAATTTATTAATTTTTACATCTTGAAGGTGCATAAGCCATATTATAAGTATAGGGCTGGGCCTTCACCTAATTCTTTTTCCTAAAATGGCCTCTTCCCTTTCATTTATTACTACTCCAAATATATGAATTTTCATTCACTATTCAAGATATCAAACTTTATTTACTTTATATAATTATTTTCACTGCTCATTTCATAGTAGTCCATATAAAATAATCATGTATGTCACCTCTTTTTTTTGTACTCCCTCAATCCCATTTTATATTGAATGTTTTGAATTTGGGGCATATTTAAAGAAGTGAAAAAATATTGTTGATTTTCCAAAAATACGCTTACTTTCTTAGGGAGGTGGTGATGAATAAGAAGACAAGGTGAAAAGGAGTGCTTATTATATGGATAGTTTAAATATTTTACTCTTAAAAGTTTACCATAATAAAAAACAAGCAACTTATTTTGGGACGGATAAAAAAAGAAAACATGCAATTTAAAACAGGAAGGAGGAAATACTATAACTTTTCATGTAGTTTTTTAAAGTATAAATTTTATTTTAAATTTAACATCTACAATGAAATAAATTGAAGTAAAAATAAATTCGATCAACTCTCGTGATCTGCCATGGTTAAGTAACTTAGTTAAGTGAGAAGGCTCACATCTAATCCTACTTACTAAATTGATCAAACACTATTTATGCTCCTAGCCTATGTAAATAAGTCCCAACATCATTATTACGGAGTATAAGTTTAGCATAGGATGCATTATACTCCAATTCTATTTTCTCCAATTCTATTTTCTTTCTCACTTCTTTGTCTACACCTTAAGCATCTACCCACATTTTCACTTATTTCTCTCCTAGCATAGTTCTTACTTTCACTCTTTCTTCCCTACTTTCCTCGTCCAAACAAATCAATTACTAGCCACGAGACTAAAAAAACCTTGTGGTCAAAAAGTAGCCACGAGACTAAAAAAAATTCGTCCAAGTATGCACCGTATCACTAATCAATCTTGCAAAGACCAAATCCCGTCATATGTGAACGAAAAATCAGTCCTCTTCCGGATTTCTCCGGACAATTATAAACCTAAAAGAGACTAAGAGACCTAAAAGAGGCTAAGAGCCAGAAAGACATACCAAATTACCAATACAACACCTATTTGACTAATCAAGTTACTCAATATTTGGATGTTAAATATAACTCTATAAACTATGGAGTACTACGCAGTTAGAAGATCCTAAGGTTTGCAAAGGTATATTCAGAAATTGAAAAAAATCACTGTCGAGTATATTCTAAGCAAAGTCCTTGAAATGTTGCAAGCAGCACATTCATGTTCCAAGTTTTCCACCTAACCTACGATTCAAAGCTATCAACTATGAAGTATGATCTGCTTCTCTCAATACATTGTACGATCCTAATTAGCCAACTCTAGAATACATACTTCTACGCTTTGATTTAAATGTATCTAAAAGGAAAGACATTGGAATTTGGATGCAGGACTCCCTAAATCTAAACAACTCATTACTTTACCGTTATTCCTCTTAATAGGTAAGTCATATTTTCAGGTTAAGTCCAATAAAATGAGAAATCACCAGCAGGTTACCGGTTGAATAAAAGTGTGCTTCAAACATACCCTTACCACCAAACAAAAAATGTCAGTTTTCTCTGTGGAAAGCATCCTTCCTCTTTTCAGCGTCGCCCAAAAAAAGACAGGTTCAATCGAAAAGATCTATTATAAAAGATTTTCAGCCACAAAAGAAGTATTAACTTCATAACATATAACACCAACAATAAGCATCAAGGGTTATGAGATTTAAAAAAAAGTCCTGAAATATATAGAAACTAAGGAGAGATGAAGAATGGAAATCTTCTTCAAAACAACAGCCGAGAATAATTGTATATTTTATGCAAAGAAAAGAAATTAGAAGAGGCTAAGAAATACTTTTCATGTGGGTGGAAAGCAAGTGAAAGGAGTCGTACTAAAGCATCCAATTTCATATTCTAAGAACATTAACTTTTCAGTGATTACTGTAGTAGGAAGCTTTAACAAGATTCATAGCAAATGTCTTTGCTAACTAACATTTGAGCCTAAGAATATCTGATTCAGAATCTCAGATTCTCTAGATCTCATAACCCAAGCCAAGGCGTAAGCCTATTATATAACCCACGCCCTAACTCACTCTACCAGCCAATTCGAATGGATTAAAAATATTCCAAAAACAAGCCTAAGGCTTTGTCTAGGAACAACATTTTCAATTGGCGTTTTGGATTATTGATTAACTTTGAAAGCACCAAAGCTAGATGCTACTGTTAGATAGTCTTTTCAGAATGCTGAAGTTGTTGCCAAACGGACACTAAATACACACAACATCAATGATTTTCTTACAAGTGTGTTTGAATATGAGAGTGCCATCCATGCAATTACATGATTCCACAATTGAATGGACCATTTTGTAATTAGTGTAATTGCACCATAATTACAATGTAATAACTTTGTCGGTTTGGTTATGTATTTTGACAATCTTAACATTCATTTTAAAATGTTTTATTAAGCATTGTGAGGGTAAATAATAAGTAAATTAAAATTCAAAAAAATAATAAAAATAAAATAATAAAAATAAAAATAAAATAATAAAAATAAAAATAATTATTATTTTTAAAGGAATTATTATTATTATTATTAAATAAAAGTTAAAACAAACAATTCATCTTAATAAGAAGAGATAAGATTGTAACCGTCCTGTAAAAAGATTCCACATCTGATTTGGCACAAGGATTAAAAGAAAACTAAAATTGGGTAGTTGAAATTGGTGCAAAGGAGAGCGAAACTATGCAGAGAGTTGATCACAAAAAATATTCAAAGGTGAAAAGTGAACTTTTTTTGGGACGGACGAAAAAGAAAATGTGGAACCTTTTTATAAGACAAGAGTAACTGATATAATAGAGCTTTTGAATCCAACATCGTTTGCAAAAACAATTTATCTCTTGAGAAATTCCACGAAAAACGCTTCTGTCCGCTCCATTCGAGTACATGTGCTCCAAGCTGCTCCTCTTTACCAATGATGTGATGATAAACCAGCATTTGGAAAAGCTCAACATACTTTGGTTGGCCATTAGCAATATCAGTAATTGGTTTTCTTCATTCTTGGTATTAATCCATGATTTGATTCGTTTTTCTAACTGCCACCATGCTCATCATCTAAATTGCGGATATGAATGAGTTGGTGGCATGAGATTTATAAAAAAATCCATGGGGGGGGAGCAACATGAAGCAGCCCTATGAAAGAATTTCTAGTAGTCATTTACAATTCATTATTCTATGCCAAAAACACCTACTATGCTATAAAAAATTAAAATACAAGCATACGCTTAAAAATTGTTACAAGTTGGACTTAACTGCATGATTCACATTCCATGTGTTAAAAATTTCAACTTGTTTATACTACTTATGTGCAATCATAGTTATTAAAGGCACTCGCCTCTCTCGCCTATGGCGCCTCAGGCGACCAGGCGAGCTCTTAGCGCCTCAAGGAAGCCAGGCGAGGCGAGATCCCTAAGGCGCGCCTAAGGCGGTCGCCTTTCTCGCTTTTCTCGCCTCAATTACTGCCTCAGGCCTTCGCCTAGCTCGCCTTTCTCGCCTCAGTCACTGCCTGAAGGCTTTAAGATATACAATGCATAATATTTATTGCTATATATTACTCCATTATATATATATATATATATATATATATATATATATATATATATATATACACATATAGTAACATACTTTATACACACACACACATACATATGAATGTATGTATGTATGTATGTTCGCCATTTGACCGCCCGCCTCTCGCCATAAAAAAAGGTCCTCTTGCCCGCCCCTCGCCCCTCACCATTAATATGTGTGCAATTTTAAGTTATTAGACACTAATGTGGACTCCACATATAGTGGAATAGTCAAGGTATTAATTTAACAGTAAGACCCAAAAGCTACCAAGGCGAAGGATACAAAGACTGAACCAATCAAGCCTTTGAAGTTCTAATGTCACAATCTATTGGGGAGGTGGATGATCAAGATGTATCATGTATGGGATCAGTCAATCCTGTATCCAGGTAATTGCGGAAATATAGTAAAAGCACAGAATCTTCCTTCAATGGGAACATGCAATCATCATGCAATAACTTAAACTACATTATCTCACATTCTCACACATACATCTTGAGCCAACATCTAAAAATACATTCATATCTTCCACTAGTTCTATCAGTAACTTACCTAAATAACTGTTTTGAAGAATATCCTAATTCCTACCAAGGTTTTAAAAAGCCTTATTTCTCTTGGTTGTTTTCCAAAATCTTACCACTCAAGATGTTGTACCAGTTGCCAAAAAATCATTAACCTATCCAAAGGTGTGGAATGAGACATACTTTTGTACACAGATGTTATGAAATATTATAAAATCTAAAAATAAAAGAATAAAATCAAACACACAACATTTCCGAACTGATGTGCTTGTAGCGGGAATGTGCCCACTTACCTTTTGCAGTTTTCTAAGGAAAAACATAAACAACTATTGCAAAAATACATAAATAACTAATCCACACCTAACCTGCAAGTCCAAACCCACCCAGGAACTAAAATTGGTGGAGATAGAAAGTACTCCCTACCACGATGTTTGTCCCATTTCTATTTTGGTCTGTCCTAAACTGTTTGCCCCATACCATGTTTGATCATATTAATGTGGTTCACAATTTTCCGCACTTCATTAATTCAATATCAACCTCATAATACAAATTTTACTTGATTTGCAAGTCACATTCCTTTGTCCTAAACTAACTCTGTGGAACAGAGGGAGTACACTATTTACTGTGATGATGAAATGACTTTGTTCTAAAACTTAGTAACCAGCAACCAGTAGAGCAATCACTTTTCCTAATCAAAACATGTGGAGATTATAAAGATATCAAAATGTGTTTTTACTGCATTCAGAGTGTTTTATAGCATTCACATCTAACATTAAACAGGGGAATGGCAACTACAAATTTAAAGAGTTGGATAGTAGCTTAGGCAGTTCATTCCTAACAAGTGTGGTTCTCTTGTATGCTTTTTCTAGACATCCTACTCAATATCCTAGCTCTTCCTGAGTGCGGGCGATGGGTAAATTGTTCAGTTTCAGCATTTTAGGTAATTTTGTTTACTATCTTGTTTTTTAATTATATCACAAAACTCACATCCGCAACCTATTAGGCTACTCCATATATAGTCCACATACTGTCTAACTTTGACATCCAACTAAACTTTTTCCCATCTCCTTTTGTGAATAGACCAATAGGGTACATTGGTCCGCAAATACGACCAGCTTGGCTGTAGCACAGTAATTTTCACTCTTCAAAATTCATCTAGAAAAACTTATATAAAATAAACACATTGTCTCATAATATGATCTCGAATCCCATCAGCAAAAGGGCAGTACAGCTTAACTAGTCATCATTAATAAACTGCCAAAATTTGCCCAACATAAGAAAGGATCTCAAAGCTGTAAACAAGACAAACTTAACTGCCACAGGACTTGACTTCCAATTTTCCAAATTCCAACACCGTCTCCTGAAAGCCTGAGAAAGGGCAGCAACCTGAAATGAAAACTAAGATAAAAGACCTCAGTGATGAGAGATAGCCATAGAAAAACAAAGCTCAAATACATAAGAGAAGCAACCACAAGTCCACTACCTTATAATCCTTGCAACAAGCCGTTAGATTCAAGGTTTGATAGCAACACCCTCAGAAGCATCATTTTTTATCTTCCCTCCATCTTCAACTGCTGCATGACTCCTGCAAAATTAAATGTTTGCATATTTTCTGCTGCGAAACTTGTCAGAGTTATGAATAGCAATATTACTCACTTTTGTCTCTTTTTGTTTTGCTCCTTGATACTTCTAACCATATCCATAGCCATATTTTGGTGCTCTCTTGTTTGTGAATGCATATCCAGGCCATCCACGGTTTCACAATCAACCTTGCAAATGCGGCACCAGCCCATGCTCAAAGAAATCATATTCCTTGATCTTTCAAAGGGCTCACCATCACCCTGCAAGATTTAACAAGCATTTAGCGGCATTACATGATCCTCCAACTCCCAATTTGATAAATTAAAGAAAAAAAATCAGTGGAATGAAAAAAGAAAAAAAATGCAAAGAATCAGAAGATGACAAAACTTTCCATATGTGTTCGTTCATTAGAGACTCCTTGTAGGGAATATCTGCTCCTAAAACCAGGCTCCCCAGGTCGTGGAAAAGCTGTCTTGTTTCCCCCAAATGATTCACCAAAAGGTATACGAGGCAAACTTCCAGGCCCTGCAAATGGACCAAAACCAACAGGCTCTCCAGCATGCATATTGCGGCGCCCCAAAGGATCAGCCCCTCTTAAATGATTAGGTAGATCATTCCCAAATACCTCACCTCTGAAGTTGTGTGGATGACCAGCTCGAATATGCTCATCAACCAAGTCTCCCCGTGGGTGACGATGCAGAGGAAGGAACCTGTCATCGTGAAATGAGTCCCTGACTGGATTAGAAGGATGTCTGAAAGGTCTAGACCCTCCGGGAAACATATGTGGTCCTCTGCCATCCATATCATCAAAACCGGCATGACCATGAGGAAGATACCCATGGGGCGGCATGCCAAAGTACTCTCTGGGAGGACTTCTAGGAGCAAAGTGATCCATGTGCCCACGACCAAATCCTGGTCCCGGAAAATCGGTATGCCTATGTTGAAAATCAGCATTTCTTCTCTCTCCATTAAGAAGACTATGTCGAACTACTCTCTCTGCACCATCATTAATGTACGGAGCACCAGGAGGGCGATATGAGGGTAATAACCTTGATGGTGCAACAGCATTACCATCATAGCCAAAGCCACCCGGACCTTTGTCAAATGGACCCAGTCCAGCTACAATGGCAAAGAAAAGAGAATTAATGTACCAGAAATTTAGTGCCCGTCGAGATCAACAAATACAGTTAATAAAAAGTAAAATATGAAGTAAAACAAAAGCTCCTTCCAATTTCACCTTGATCATGTGGCCAATGAGGTTCTGCTGACAAAGTTCCCGAGTGATCCGGAACTGACATTTTCAACCTCTCACCATGAGAAGATTCCTTGTGATGCGGAAGGCCTCTATCAAAGCCACTCATTCTTCTTTTATGAAACATTTCAGCTTCCAACTTATTAGCAGGATACTGCTGCCCAAAGTGATTTTCAGAAACATTTACAGGGGCATGATGTGGAACAAAGTGACCTTTAGGTCCAGATGGTTGTGCTCCTCCCATACCATCTCGAATTCCAACTGAGCCAAAAGGTAAAGCACTTGAAGGGAATCCCTGAGAAGTGTTGGACTGTACTTCAAAACTTCTATGTTGATGAAAATGATCAGGCACTCTACCAGATGAGGCTCTCTCTATCACGCCTTCAGTATCAGCTGATTTTGCACCAGATGACTGCGCCAAAGCATTCTCACTACGTTCTTCCTTAACAGTTTGCATCAGTACAGGGTCATTAGAATTTCCTTTATCAGCTTGATCACTTTTAGCGCACTCCTTCATGGAATCTTGTTTGTTGCCAGGGCCTGTTTCCATTTTTGCAACCTTAGTTTCAAAGGATTCAGTTCCAATAACACTGGAATCCTTGTCAGCATTGTTTTGGGATATTATTGTGGCTTCTGCAGTGTGTTCAGGCTTTGCAGATGAGGGAACAACTTGCCCCTCGAGTGCTACAGATTTCTTTTGATCTATGGAAACTTGCAATTGGTTATTCACGGAATTTGAATAAATTTGACTAACAGGTGGTTGGTTTAAGCCATGCTGCACAGTAAGAACTGGAGGTGCAGCACCAGATCCGCTAGGTGCAAGAGGCACTGCTCTTCCAAAATAATTTTGAGGCGGTTGAGGATTCATACCAGGAACGGGGCCGGGACCTAAGGCGGCATTTGGCTGTGACTGGACAGGGGCATGAGAAGTTTGAAGTGCCATATGCTGAGGACCTGAATGATGGATGTGAGATGGTTGTTGCAAGGATGGACCGTGCTGCTGTGACTGACTTGGATATGGACCAGAAAATGGGTGCTGTGGATACTGCTGAGACACCGGTTGTTGAGTTGCCTGAGGAAGATGTGATTGAACTGGAAGGCTTGGATATTGACTGTTGGAGTGATGAATGGATTGGTGAGAAACGAATTGACCTTGAGGAGGTAGCATACCATGTTGTTGATTTGAACTAGGAGCCGGCGGAGGGCGCATCATAGGCTGTTGCTGCATAGCCTGATTTTGGGTGTGGGCAGAAGGGAAAGACCCACTTGCCACAGATCCCACAGGGGTTTGGTGTTGAATTTGTGGGTAGGATTGGTGCCCTGTGAGTGCATGAGGTGCTTGAAGTGGGTTCTGATGCTGGGCAATGGGAACAACAGGCTGGCTAGGCTGAGGAGGGTGCCCACTAGGTTGTGGTTGAAGGTGTGAATTTTGATGTGGTAAGGCCAGAGGAGGCTGTGCATTAGGCATTTGTGCAGAAGGCTGTTGGTAAGGAGGGACCTGCACGTGTTGCAGTCCTTGTGGATGTGGCTGCACTGGGTAGGTCTGAGGTGGCTGACCTAGAGAGGGTGGATAAGAATGCGGTAGAACTTGTGCATGTGATTGTACATGAGGCTGAAGTAATTGTTGTTGGTTGGTTTGATTTTGGTTCTGATGTTGTGTTGTTGAGGGTTGAATGGGTAGATGGGGTTGCACTTGCACTTGTGGTTGAGCCTGGGCTTGAGGCTGAGATTGGGCAGTTGGTTGAGGTTGCACCTGGGGAAAAGATTGTGGTTGAGCCTGGGGCTGAGGTTGGGTATACACTTGAGGCTGGGTTTGCCCTTGAGCATGTGATGGGTATTGCTGATATTGTTGCACACCTTGTTGTTGGTAGGGATAGTACTGTTGATAAGATTGCTGGTAAGGGTCATATCCAGCATACTGCTGATAGTATTGCTGATACTGTTGTTGGTNGGATTCTGAACCTGAGAAGCTGATGATATAGGTTGAGCAGCTTGTTTATTTGGGTCAACACCGGCAGCAGCAGTAGTTGCAGGTGTAGCTGGTGCTCCTGATTGAGAGACAGAATTAACTTCTGCAACCTGCTGTGATGGATATACACCCTGCATTTTTAATTATAGAATATAATAAGGATGACTAACCTTTTTTTGTTAAATTAAGCAGGCATATGAAAAAGAGAATTTATAAGGTACCCTAAGAAAGAATGAAGATTTTAGTGCATCATTCTCTTTATTCGTTGAGCCGTTGAGAAGTGATGGATGGGTGAAAAGAGTTTCTTAGAAATAATTAGAGCCCTTATTCTCTTTAGTCAAGTCATGGAGAGGTGAAATGAGGATTGAGAAGAAAAGAACTGAAAGCACTTTAAATTTCTAGAGTACCATGGAAGCTGAATTTGAAGAAAGTAGACATTTAAATGTTCTAAGGTGCCAAAGAAAAAAAAATAATAGTCATTACTGCACTCACAGGACAGCTCTGTGCATGCTCATGCACTTGCCGATGCACAATTTGCACTCCACATCTGTTGCATATAACTGGGGAATTCCCAAAAGCACAACCAGAAGAATGTGAGGTACATTCAGATAAAATTCCCTCCCATGTACATCCGCTTTTATGAAACAGACAGCGCACTTTGACTTTGCCTATATTCTCGGCAAGAACCTTGTTTGTTTCAATGAGAGGCTGCCATGATAAGGAAATATCTCAGTATGTCTAAGGGGAACAAATGCATGAGTCACTCTAAATAGAAGATGATTATAGCCGCATAACCTAACCTTGGAATGTGCTTCGAGAACTAAATACCCATCATATGGACATGCCTTGTCCCCATTAGAAACATGTGCCAAACAAGCTTTGCAATAGAGATGAGTGCATTGTGATTGGAGTGCTTCATTTGGGTATACGAGAGTACGGCAAACTGGACAGAAATACTCTCCAGGATAAGTGTGGATGTCAATTATGCACTCAATATCAAAACCCATATCAACTCAGAGGTATGTTATCGGTTCCCAAGGGCCAAGGCACATACAACTGTGCAGGAAAACTTAAAGTGGCTAGAACCTGAAATGAAAATCCATCACGACCACATTATAATTAATAAAATGCATCTGATTAGCTATGAGATGATTTCAAATGATAGCTATTTGACTAGTGGCAGTTTTACATTCTATAGAATCAAGAAAAATGCTTTGGCCTGAAATTCTTGAAGCTTCTTTAGTTTAGAGTTAGTGGGAAAATAATGTCACGACGTTAGACTACGAGCTAGGCCTAACAATGACTAGTTAACTACAGCATAAACAGACGATTTCTACCATTGCTACCTTTTAAATGCAATGGCAGTAGTCATCAGTAACAAGAAAAATTAATTATTCATTTTACAAAATCAAGAAAACTCAGAATATCGGTACAGCTAAAAAACATTGAAACAATTAGTAATCAAGAATTCTAATTAGGGTTATAGATTTGCCCACGAGCAAAAAGAATAATATTTCTTTTTTTGGATCGTACAGTTCCAGAGATTGATCGAAGAATTCACAGAGAAGCACGAGAATTGAAAAACATGATCAGCAGTAAGATATTACTAGGGTTTTTGGTGTCGATGAAGCCCTGCCAGCGAATCTCGGGGAGAACTGGGAAGAGTGCAAAGAAGACGGGACTGGTAAAATAAGTGGGAAGGCTGTGTTTGCCGTTTGCCTATGGATTTATGGTAGAGAAAGAATGTCACTAGTCTCACTACTATATTCATTTTTGTCAAAAATGCTGCTTGGTACATAGGCCGTATTCTCTTGTGTTAGAATTTTATTGTTGGATTTTGGAAGAATCTAGAAAAGGTTGAGAGAAATTCGAACGTATTAAAAATAATTAGAAAGAGTTAAAAAATGTTACAAGAATATAAGTATTAAAAAGTTACTCAACTAAATAATCTACCCAATAAATATGTTAGAAAATTTTAATTTTAGATAAAAAAGAATTCATCATTGTCTGTATTTGTGTGATATGTTATAAATTTGGATACATATATATATATAGATATATATATATATATAAAGTATTATCTTATACTAATCATATATAAACATTTTTTTAAGTTGTCGTTAGAATAAACTAGCATGAGTTAAAAGAAACTAGAAGGAGTGGGTAGAAGTTGAAATTTAATTTTTCTAACCCAAAAAAAGGCCGTAGTACGGAGTACTAATCTTTTTTTCCAATAATGTACTCCGTAATTAAACTTTTTAAAGTATTTAAAAGTGTCACTCAAATATTACATTTTTGTCAAAAAATTGACTTTCTGTTTTTTTTTCATTTCAATCATGTTAATGAATTCTCTAAAATGTTCAAAAGTATCACTAAAACTTCATACTTTTCTTGAGTTTAGTAAATATAAATGGCTTTGTTTGATTAATAAAAAATATAAGGACTAGATATTCTGTTGTGTACGCTTTGAAAAAATGGTTAAGATCTAGTTCAACACAAATACTAAAATCATCTGCAACGATAACGACAGAGAATTTTTAAATAATGTCCTTGGTAATGACATAACGAAACACAATCATCGTCGCCTTCTTGAAACATTTAACACCTTATTTTATTAGTCTCACCCCACAAACATTATTGGTTAGAAGCTATTGTCATTGCAATTTACTTTATTAACTGCATGCCTATTATTTAATATACCTTTTTTTCGAAGCCTTTATCACGTGTCTCTTGGCTATGCTGCTTTACGTGCATTCACATATCAAGCATATACTGAGTATATAGCTACCTTTTCGTATTTCCCACAAACTACAAACTTCACCAATGCTATATGTTTTTCTCGATAATAATCACGACTCCAAAAGTTGTAAAAGTTGTTGTTTGGTCTACGATGAAATTAATGTCTCTCATCATGTTCAATGAAAATAAGTATACCTATCTCTTTATATCCTTTCATTCATCTCTCTATCGTGTGAAATCTTTTTCTGAATCATATCATTCACATGATTCTACCATGCTCGACTCCTTGCTCCCACATCGTTTTCATCCTATTTATCCTCATACCGCGACATCACTGTCAGCTCAACCATTATTGTGCCGCTTCTGCGATAGCGAATCATCACCGCCGACCACTATGTTCCTCTTATTCATTGCAACTCTTCTTTTTTGTCAAAGAGGATTGCCTACCCGACTCGCGCATTGGACAGTACACGAAGAACCATATAGATTCGTGCACTCTCTCAATTATTTTTATTTTACGAGTAGTTTACAAGTAACTGGAATCATACTCGTGCGGTGCACGGTCAAAATATTTAAACATCAATTATTTAAGGATTTCAATGCTGAAAAAGAATACAATATGTAGGATATAAAAAATTTAAAAAGAAAGTTTATCTGAAATAATCCACATTGTCACGATTTTTTAAAAATTAGCCCACTTTTCATCGTCGCGCATAATAATCTCAACTTTTCACATGTGTGTAAGTTTTGGATGACTATAAATACGCTAACCGTCACTTAATAGATTTCATAGTATAGTCTAGTTATAGATTTTTCTTTCTTTTAAAAATATAATGGTTCAAAAATTTTGTGTTTTTATTTTGGGAATATGTTTTAATAGAATATCAAAAAACGGTTTGGAGTACCGCTCTATAAAATAATTTGCCATACAAACAAATTTTAGCAAACTATATAAAATATTAGTGTCATTTTGGAAAAATAAAATGTTGTACCATTTTCATAATTTTTTAATGTTATTTTGAAAAAATATTTGTACTTAATACATCAAAAAATTCACAAATTTTGTAGTACATTTGAATATAATAATAATAATGATAATAATAATACAATAGTGGGTTATGGAAAAATAATGCAGAATGATCCAAAAAAATATAGTGAGTTATAAAAAATTAGTTTCATTTGGAGAAAAACTATTGTGTCATTTTCATAGCTTTTGTAATGTTGTTTTAAAAATTAAAAATATTCGAGCATTATTGGAAAAAACACAAGTTTTGTATTGCTGTTTTTCGAAAAAGAATATTGGACAAAAAAATTCAGTATGTCGATCAGGAAAAAAATTTACAAAATAAAAAAATTGTAGTGAGTTATAAAAAATTAGTTTAAAAAAGGAAAACCAAGAAACAAAGCCTTCAATCTCTCTCAGTAGGCCCATAAATGGATAATCGAAAATTCGATTACTATCCACATTTGTATCCGTTTACGCAAAAACTGTCTGCATCCATTCAAAGCAGTTATTATCTTTATCCGATCAAGGACATCTGATTGGTAAACGGGTACGGATTTGGGAATCATACTTCTGATCTATTTATAATGTGCTACCACATATACATCCATGATCCATTTGAGTAACTGTTTTTGTTCATCTATCTGATCTGTTATCCATGTTTTTTCTCAAATTTATATTTTTTATGTTTTGTTTTTCTATTAACATATGAAATTCTAAAATATATGTGTAGACGCACAAATCCGTGTGTATGTGTAGTACGCAATACTTTTTACGATAAAAAGTATTGCATACTACACATACACACGCATCTGTCAAGATTGTATTCGAATTCGATATACGATAAAAATAAACGAATATAGATTTAATAATAACACATCTGGTCTGATTAACATCTGTTTACACCCCTATCCATGGGTACTTTGGCCACTGATTTATTATTCCTTGTTATTGTTGTTGTTGCTATTGTGACCTATGAATGCTATTTGGATAATAAAAACCAACCTTTAATATCAAAAACCACGGACCATCATAATTAAAGATCAAGTATTATGAGCTAAGACCAACAATCATAAACCACAACTGTTTTTAAAGAAACAAAAGCTTAAAACCTATTTGAAAGTTCATAAAATCAAAAAACCACATTTGAAAACTCAAAAAACTATTTGGCTAATAAAAAATAACTAACATGGATAAAAAACCAAAAACCATGGGCTAAGAGCGAAAACCAAAAGCCAGGGTCATGGTTCAACGTCAAAAGTCATTTGCCAACCTAGAAGCCAAAAGTCAATTTTGAAAAGCGATTTTGGGCAAGATGCAAGTTTGAGAACCATGAATCTATGCAATTGAAAAATGACTTAAGTTACGTTAAAACTCAAGATA